CGCCACTCCGCCTACTATGCTGCGCTCGCGCTCAGACCCAACAGCAAAGGGTGGGTGCTGTCTCCTTTGCATCTCACTGCACCGCACTGCACTGCGAGCGAGGAGCGATCCAAGCTCTGGGTTGCCCGTCACTGTGCCTACTATGCTGCCTTGGCCCTCACGCCCAACAGTAAAGGGTGGGTGAGCCAACAGCACAGCAGGCAGGTCGTCTGTCGCCTCTCGTGCCTCCTAGCGGATGTGCATGCTCCTGTGTCGCGGCTCACAGAGGTGGTGCTGTGCTGCTGGTGAAGCAGCAGATAGAGCACTCACAGGTGGTAATGCCAGCTGAAGAGCACAGGCGGCATTACCACCACCTGTGCACGGGTGGCATTTTTGAGTCGACTCAAAAGCCAGCTGAAGAGCACAGGCGGCATTACCACCACCTGTGCACAGGTGGCAATGCCGCCTTCAGTTGTCACACGCCCTTCCTGACCTCCCTCTTCGCTTCTTCCTGTCTTGTACCCATCCCTCTTAACCCCCCTACCCCAGCCTCCTAGCAGACGTGTGTGTGCCTATATCGCATCTCACAGAGCTGGTGGTGCTGGCGAAGCAGCAGATAGGGCAGGCCCAGCTGGTAACTCGTCTTCCACTATCACACGCCCTTCCCAACCTCGCTCTCTCTTTCTTCTTCTTTTCTATCCATCCTTCCCACCCCCCCTACCCCAGCCTCCTAGCGGATGTGTGTGTGCCTATATCGCGACTCACAGAGCTGGTGGTGCTGGCGAAGCAGCAGATAGAGCAGGCTCAGCTGGTGGCGCCCATAGTGGGCCACGTGGGGGACGGCAACTTCCACGTGCTCTTCATTGTGAGTGCATTGAGGGCCACGTGGGGGGGTGTTTGGGTGGTGATAGTGGGGTAGGGTAAGGCGCCAATAGTGGGCCACGTGGGGGGGTGTTTGGGTGCTGATAGTGGGGTAGGGTAAGGCGCCAATAGTGGGCCACGTGGGGGGGTGTTTGGGTGCTGATAGTGGTGGGTAAGGCGCCAATAGTGGGCCACGTGGGGGGGTGTTTGGGTGCTGATAGTGGGGTAGGGTAAGGCGCCAATAGTGGGCCACGTGGGGGGGTGTTTGGGTGCTGATAGTGGGGTAGGGTAAGGCGCCAATAGTGGGCCACGTGGGGGGGTGTTTGGGTGGTGATAGTGGGGTAGGGTAAGGCGCCAATAGTGGGCCACGTGGGGGGGTGTTTGGGTGGTGATAGTGGGGTAGGGTAAGGCGCCAATAGTGGGCCACGTGGGGGGGTGTTTGGGTGCTGATAGTGGGGTAGGGTAAGGCGCCAATAGTGGGCCACGTGGGGGGGTGTTTGGGTGCTGATAGTGGTGGGTAAGGCGCCAATAGTGGGCCACGTGGGGGGGTGTTTGGGTGCTGATAGTGGGGTAGGGTAAGGCGCCAATAGTGGGCCACGTGGGGGGGTGTTTGGGTGCTGATAGTGGGGTAGGGTAAGGCGCCAATAGTGGGCCACGTGGGGGGGTGTTTGGGTGCTGATAGTGGGGTAGGGTAAGGCGCCAATAGTGGGCCACGTGGGGGGGTGTTTGGGTGGTGATAGTGGGGTAGGGTAAGGCGCCAATAGTGGGCCACGTGGGGGGGTGTTTGGGTGCTGATAGTGGGGTAGGGTAAGGCGCCAATAGTGGGCCACGTGGGGGGGTGTTTGGGTGCTGATAGTGGTGGGTAAGGCGCCAATAGTGGGCCACGTGGGGGGGTGTTTGGGTGCTGATAGTGGGGTAGGGTAAGGCGCCAATAGTGGGCCACGTGGGGGGGTGTTTGGGTGCTGATAGTGGGGTAGGGTAAGGCGCCAATAGTGGGCCACGTGGGGGGGTGTTTGGGTGGTGATAGTGGGGTAGGGTAAGGCGCCAATAGTGGGCCACGTGGGGGGGTGTTTGGGTGGTGATAGTGGGGTAGGGTAAGGCGCCAATAGTGGGCCACGTGGGCGATGGCAACTTCCACGTGCTCTTCATTGTGAGTCGATTTGTCAAGCACGTGGGTGCTGATAGCAGGTGCTGACAGCAGGTGCTGATAGCAGGTGATGACAGCAGGTGATGACAGCAGGTGCTGACAGCAGGTGCTGATAGCAGGTGATGACAGCAGGTGCTGACAGCAGGTGATGACAGCAGGTGATGACAGCAGGTGCTGACAGCAGGTGATGACAGCAGGTGATGACAGCAGGTGATGACAGCAGGTGATGACAGCAGGTGATGACAGCAGGTGATGACAGCAGGTGCTGACAGCAGGTGCTGACAGCAGGTGCTGACAGCAGGTTCTGACAGCAGGTGCTGACAGCAGGTGCTGACAGCAGGTGATGACAGCAGGTGCTGACAGCAGGTGCTGACAGCAGGTGATGACAGCAGGTGCTGACAGCAGGTGATGACAGCAGGTGCTGACAGCAGGTGCTGACAGCAGGTGATGACAGCAGGTGCTGACAGCAGGTGCTGACAGCAGGTGCTGACAGCAGGTGCTGACAGCAGGTGATGACAGCAGGTGCTGACAGCAGGTGCTGACAGCAGGTGCTGACAGCAGGTGCTGACAGCAGGTGCTGACAGCAGGTGCTGACAGCAGGTGCTGACAGCAGGTGCTGACAGCAGGTGCTGACAGCAGGTGATGACAGCAGGTGCTGACAGCAGGTGCTGACAGCAGGTGCTGACAGCAGGTGCTGACAGCAGGTGCTGACAGCAGGTGCTGACAGCAGGTGCTGATCAAATATTTCCTTCTGTCCCTCCTGCCACACGTCTGCTCCGAGCAACAGGTGGATCCAGACAACCAGGATGAGCTGGCAGCAGTCAAGCAAGTCAACAGCAGTCTTGCTGCCTTTTCAACAGACATGATAACCCTCCATCCATCTAAATTCCCTCCTTGTCTGCTCCGTGCAACAGGTGGATCCGGACAATAAGGATGAGCTGGCAGCGGTCAAGCTGCCTTTCAGCAGACCTGATTAACCTCCATCCATCAAAACCTCCTTGCAACAGGTGGATCCGGACAATCAGGATGAGCTGGCATCGGTCAAGCGAGTCAACGACAGTCTTGTGGCGCGTGCTATTGCTGTGGGCGGCACATGCAGTGGCGAGCATGGTGTTGGGTGAGTGGCATGGCATGAGCTGCCATGATGGGGTGGGGTGAGTGGCATGGTGGGGTGGGGTGAGTGGCATGGCATGGAATGGGGACACACAACCTGCAGTTTGTTGTTGGGACCATGATTTATTGTCATCTGCAATCGACTTGTATTGTGCTTTGAGATTCGCCACCACTTCTCCCTGTCCCCCTTCGTTCCCCCCCTCCACACTGCATACTCACCGCACATCCCCCGGGGATGGGCGGACAGCACAGGATGCGTTTTGAGGCGCCTCAAAACTTTACTTTTATCAATGGGTGGGCAGCACAGGATGCAATGGCAGTACTCAAGGCAGCCTGCGCACCTATCTCCCCCCCTTTCTCCCCCCTTCCCTTCATCTCCTCATTTCTCTCTTCCTCGTTTCTTTTCCCCGAGCAGCTATGGCAAGTTGCCATTCTTGGAGTCGGAGCATGGGAGGGCAGCACTGGATGCCATGGCAGCACTCAAGGCAGCATGGGACCCACTCAATCTTTTCAACCTGGGCAAGCTAGGCCAGTTCCGCCTGCCCTGATAGGGCATCTTCACTTGCCCGGTTCCACCTGCCCAAGCTTTTTTCTGTGCTGTGTGCGGTGCTTTTGAGGCTTGCCCGGCAGAAAGGCAAGCTCTTTCTCTTTTGCTGAGGCTTTGGTATTGGAGAAACACAAGTATTATAGCTGCTGCAAAGGCTTCTTAGCCCCCCAATGCTCTGGACTGGCGATGGCTAGTTCATGACTCTTGTTTGTGCAGTGGTTGCTTATATCAGCTGTACATTCACAATGCACAATACACAATACACAATACATCACAAGCATAATCTAATTACAAGTGAGCAACTACCTCCTACCATAAATGTTCATTTCGTGACCATGTCTAGCCGCCCTGCCATGGCCAGCATCTGCCTGAGGGCCAGCACCTTGGCCTTCACACACAGATTCACCCCCACCAGCCCACCCCCTCCACCCACTCCCATCCCTGCAGTTGCCCCTACAGCCACACCAGCACCCATACCCATCCCTGCAGCAACAGTAGCAGCAACAGGTGGTTGAGGTGGGTTCCCTGCTACTACTGGCGCTACTGGGGGTAGCGTTGCCCCTGCTGCTGCTACAGCTGCTGCTCCTGCCACTACAAGTGCCGCACCCAAAGGTGCTGCACCCACACCCCACGTCGCTGCACGGGCTGTCATGTTGACGGGTGGAAATAACGCCCCACCCGCAACACCATCATTCGCAACACCAGCGGCACCACCAGGAATAGCAGCAGGCACGGCAGCAGGTACGACAGCAGGTACGGCAGCAGGCACGGCAGCAGGCACGGCAGCAGGCACGGCAGCAGACGGAACAGCAGCGCTGGCAAGCACAGGCCTTCCAAACACGCCGCCTGCAGTGCCATCCATTGCAGCTGCTACTGCCATGCGCCCGGTCAGTCTCCTGGGGTCGGTACCAGAATAGCTTCCGCTCATCTCCACCACTCGCCCTTGCCCTGCCCCTGCTGCTCCTCCTGCTCCTCCTGCTCCCCCTGCTCCTCCTACTGCCCCTGCAGCTGCTCCTGGGGCCATCACGGTTCCACCTGCTGGGAAACCCATCACACTCCCTCCTCCCCTCCCTGCTACCCCTGCAGCTGCTACTGCGGCCACTGCTGCTGCAGAAGCAACCATCCCCGTCCCTGCTGCTCCTACTACAGGTGCCCCCACCGCTGGGGCTGCTACAGCCGCCCCCACCGTTGGCGTTGCTGCTACAGCAGCCCCTACAGCAGCCCCTAACGCTGGCGCTGCTGCTACAGCCGGCGCTGCTACGGCTACCCTTCCTGCTGCAGCAGCTGCGGACCCAGCAGCAGCGCACATGGCGCAGCACAGGCCCTTAATCACGATGCGCCTTAAGTTGGGACACCGGAGCGCGATAGTCGCCACTACCGCCGCATCAAAGTCCACGTCCGTCAGAATCAGCACCTCCAGCTCCGGGTGAAACGCGTCCGGCGCTGCCGAACCCGTCCCCGAGCCTGTCCCCGAACCTGTTCCCGAGCCTACGGCGAGTCGGCTCGTGCCGAGCCAGGGGAAAGTGGATGCGGGCGCGGCGGCTGACGAGGGAAGAGCGCCGAGAGCGGCGGGTAGGGTGTGGATAGAGCCTCCTACTAATTCCAAAACCCTTAAAGACGTGCACTTGCGCAGAGCCAATAGGTCTTCGACCTCTAGCGCCCCCATGTGGATGCGCAGACACGACAGGTTTCGCCAGCCAATCACCATCAGGTACACGGCCTGGCGAGTAACACTATTTCGCACGAGGCACGAAAACTGTCGCATGGAGCGGAATCCCGACGTGAGGTACCACATGGAACGCGCCTCGAGCAGACCGAAGGACGTCTCTACGCCGTGCGATGTGAGCTCGACGGATTCGACGTTCTTGCAGTAGAGCGATATGATCCAGAGGATGCTGCAGATCGCCGCCTCGTTGCGACTCGTCGCGTCGCGGTCGCAGTCGATGACGATGCGTCGCAGCGAGTCGCTGCATGCGACGATGATGGGGTGCAGGATGTGCAGCTCGCACCGCGGGTCGTCCACGTAGAGGTCCGTCAGGTTGGCGCAGCGCGCCGCGAGCAGCTCCACGCCTGAGACAAAACGGAGCGAGCGAGCGGGCGAGGAGAGGAAGGAAGAGAGGAGGTGAATTCAGTGTCACTTTCGACGGGTGACGTGACGAATCCGTAGCTCAATGACGCGCGTAGGAGTAGAAAATCATTTAGCACGACAATGACCCGACCTGGTTCGTAGTTGGGCTCTACGTGAACAAACTTCGTGGTGACTTTTCGAGGTTTCACATCGAAAACACGTGTCGCAGAGTGTTTACAGCGTAGACGGCGCATGCCATACGTCATGAACTCACTAAATAACTTCGCAAAAGCGGAACCTGCGGAAACAGCTTTTGGGCCGTGGGCCACGAGAAGAGGCTCGTACACATGCACCGGTTTGAACGTTTAACTGTCACGAGCCGCGACGTTGAAGTTGCGGTAAACGTTGAAAGTCGTACATGTGCGCATACTAAACGTGAGAAAAACTCATACGGGCTGCAAACGTTGAAGCTGCGAACAGAGGCGCGTCGGCGAAAGGCGCATCGGAAAGAAGCTGTTCGGCGAGAGGCGGGTCATACCTGGATGCATGCTGCCCGGGCCGATGCGGAGCTTGGTCCAGAAGACGCGGCTGTAGCACAGCTGCTTCCACTGCCGGTTCACGCACGAGAGCCGGCACAAATCCCACGCCGTCGGATGCCCCGATTGAAGCACCTTCAATAGAAGATCCTCGCTCAAATCCGACAGGGACGCCGGCCTCCGCTGCTGCTGCTGCTGTTGTTGCGGCTGTAGCGCTGGTTGTAGCGTCCCTTGCGTTGCGTGCTCTGCGGATGAAGTGCTGACGTCAGAGCTGCAGTCCGCTTCCAGGTCCGGAAGCATCATAGAAGGCTCTTCGAGGCGGCGCCGCTTTGAGAAAGGCTCGGCGTTAGGCTCGGCGTCAGGTTCGGGCTTGTCGGACGAGCCCTGAACGGGCACGCTACCGTGATGCGTCGGTGCGGGGACGTGATGCCGTAAGTTCCATGCTACGAGGTCTGAGAGACCTAAATCCATGGCTTTTGGTTGAAACTGCTTACTAGACGGATAAATTCCAAAGTGTCGAGAGCAGAGTACGGAGGGTTTGCTGGGCTGCGTTAACGAAGAAACAGAGGGATGAGAAGCTACACAAAGTATGAAGAGAGATTTACCACCAGTTTAATAGCCAGTTCACACTGTCGATTCGACAAGCAAGAAGTACGAACGTAATATAGGAATCCCTGAGGGTGGGCTTGAGGGAACTGAGGTCAAATATAAGCTCCGATGGCGCTGTAAAACACACATCATATCGAGGGACGAAGGGGCAAGCAGACAGGGAGGGAGGGGAGCAGGCGTTGAGTTGAGGTCGAGGGGTGTCAAGTTCTCAATGGACGGGGCGAGGAGCGGACTGGAGAGCACATGTGATGATGCCTGGTGGACGCGTGGAGGTATGGATGCAAGACTAGCAGGCGATCGACGGCCAGCGTGGACAGCTGGAAGGGCTGCCATCGAGATTGCCCTCAGATGACGCGTCTCGGAATTGGATGCGCGTTGCGCGAACCCCAAGCCCCGGATTTTGTTGTGCGTTTTCCGCTTTCTGTCCTCCTTTCCGCTTGGTTGCCCGCATGATGCAAGCAACCCGAATGGCGAGGCGAACTGCTTCCTGCCCGGCTGTGTTGCTGCTGCCGCGCGCTGCTCTCTGCTTGCAATGCTCGCTCGCAGGTCTCGATGTTGTAGGCGGCGACGAATCGAATTTCCATCATCACATGATGGCAGGTGAAACACACACAGAAACCTGGTGGCGCGGTGGGTTGGGTGGTGGCTGTTTTTGTGGCATGTGTGGTTTGCTTGAAAGTTGAAACGGGCAAAGGTATCAGGCGGGCGGGGATTGCGTGACACGTCCGCCATGTGAGGGGCTCCCACATTTGAGAGTTGAAACGGGGCAAGGGTTTGGGCGGGCGTGATGTGTGAGGGGGGCTGACCCGCGCCGCATTTGCATTGTCAGCGAGACATCTGAACTCAGCATTGCGGCGCGAGTTGCTGAATGGAAGGGGCAAACCACCGCCACTAACTGAATTCACAATTTACGCAAACTTGCGATTGTTTTCTACCGACCTCCGTTCACGGTTCCGTCGGGGTTCTGGCAGTTGCATCTGATGCATTCTGTCCATCCCGCCCCGTGCCCCTTCTGCCTTCCCTTCCATCCGTCAGTGACGCTGGCGTTGACGTGGAATTCTTTCAGCTTGCAAGCGATGTCATTTATGTGGTTGGTGGAAGTTTGGGACCAGCGACTTCGCAAGACGAGGGTCGCCACGTCGCATATGATCGTGGCATGTCGCAGGCAAGGACTCCAAAGCAACTGTTGTCTATTGATCTCGCAAGCCAGTCCGTCGCCTTGGAATGGTACTGAAGCCATTGCGAGCTGCCCAGTCGCAGACGAAACCAGCCGGAACCATGGTTACTTGATGACGTCAGGAAGCCACGTAACATCTCTGTTGATCGACCGACAAGGATTCGTACAAATACAATTCACAGGCCAGTTGGCGAGTTGTACGCTGTCTGACGAAGTTGTTCGGCTTGAATATCGTCCCTCGCGTTTCATTGACTGTCGTGCATCAGCCGTCCACCAGGCCCAGGAAGAAACCCTCTCGGTTTCGTCCAGCGGCGGGGCGCGTTGGTGATGACGAAGGACCGGAGAAGTTACTTGCGAAGTTTCGGTCCAAGGCCCGCACAATTGTTGCAATGCAAGTGTGCAATGCCAACGCCCCAAACGTTATCATTTTAGCCCTCAAAACCTGGATTCGGAACTGAAATCTGGAGTCGCAGGTTGAGCTAGACTCCCTCTGTATACCAATTCTATTGTCGAAACTGCATGTTTTGGTGTGAATCTGAATGATCGTACTGTACAGGGTGCCCCAAAATAATATCGAGATTACTTTCCAAGCCGAGTCATCTGGGCCATCGAAACTGGACAGCCCGCCTGTCGTTGTGAAGTAACACGTGGACGCACATCAAGATCCTCCACCGTGTGCATCTGCAGGAGTCATCATTGCAGCAGGCGATGAATGGAAGTAGCAGATGAGAAATGTCAAGAGATGAAGGCAAGTCACCGTGTCCACGCTGCCATCACCTGGCATTCCTAGAGATAAACAAGACCACACAGAATACACGCTCAAGATTAGCAGTGTCTAAAGGTTAAAGCCCGCGGCCCAAGTTGCAGACCGCACGGGTCAACGTTACTAATCTTGATGATTGGGCTTCAGAATCTTGAAAGAAAAACGCCCGTGCAACTTGGGACTTCGGCAACCAAAAGCGAAGTTCCCCTGTGGGAAAGTCTTGCGAGGGTTGGGCGAAATTGTAACAACCCTCGCTCACAACTCCCCGTCAACTTTTGTGATACCCTCCCCCATAGCCCAGCGGTCAACCTTAGTAAGGTTGAACAACTTGGGCTGCGGGCTTTAACGCACAAAATTAAGATCCAGGAAATTATATTATAGAAATAGCTCACAGTAACCCACTTTGAAGCCTTATCATATTGATTTATCCAGAAAACGGGTTATGTGAACACTGCATCACCTATTTCACAATCCCAGAAAAAAAGGGCCAGCAGTCCTCAACATGGCCTAGGTACTAATCCACACATGCTATGCAATCTTGAGTGATGATTAACGAAGTCGGTTAAAAAACATGATAAGCGAGAGCAAGGTCAGGGTTGTACAGAAGCCAGGGGTGAGTTGGGGCCGGCCTTTTGGCCGGCAGACACAAGGTCTCGGAAGAGATTGCCACTGGTCCAGCTGCCGCCCAGACTCTTCCTGCCAATTCCTCCGTTCCCTTGCCTCATCATAGCAACAAACTCGTTATAGTCAATGATGCCATCCTGTAGGAAAAAACAAATCACAAGTAATCATCAACAGAAACAGCAGGGGAGAGATAACCACCAACAGTACATTCCCATCACTCATCAAAACCAGCTGGAGTCACAACAACAGTGGTGGTGCGAATACATTATCGCCAGGACAGTACCAGCAGCCTCGTCACTCACATTGCGAGCGTCGACGTCGCGCATGGTCTCAACGATGCACTCCAAAATGCCGTACTCGCTCCAAGCATCCTGCAGCTTCATACACTCCATCTCAAAGGCATCAACCACAAACCCATGTACTCACATTGTTAGTGTCAACATCGCGCATGGTCTCAACGATGCACTCCTCATCAACACCATACTCGCGGCACGCGTCCTGCAGCTCATCAGTGGAGATGAAGCCGGACGAGTCCTTGTCAAAGTAGGAGAAGGCCGCAAACAGCGTCTCCTCGCGCTCTATCTTGTTCAGCTGCACCGTCGCTGCCAGGAACTCGCCGTAGTCGATGGTTCCGTTGCCGTCAATGTCAGCCTGGATTGGGGGATTGAAGTGAGTGGGGGACATGGAGGGGTAACAACGTGAGAATCAGCTGCAGGGAGCGTCCTGCAGGGTGCATCCTGGAGGGTGCGTCCTGCAGGGAGCGTCCTGCAGCTCATCAGTGGATATGAAGCCCGACGAGTCCTTGTCAAAGTAGGAGAAGGCCGCAAACAGCGTCTCCTCGCGCTCTATCTTGTTCAGCTGCACCGTCGCTGCCAGGAACTCGCCGTAGTCGATGGTTCCGTTGCCGTCAATGTCAGCCTAAAATGGGGATTGAGGTGAGTGGAGGACATGGAGGGGTAACAACATGGTTTGAAAAGTCAGCTGCACCGTCGCTGCCAGGAACTCGCCATAACCGATGGTGCCGTTGCCGTCAAACCTCAGCCTGGATGGAGGTTTGAGAGAAGAAAGACAAAACTTGTCTTTGACAAAGAAAGAAAGAAAGAAAGAAAAAAACACACTTTTAGCTTGCGAGCGATGCTGCTGCACACTCATGCCCACCACCATAACACCATACGCACAGAGCCAAGCCCAAAGCTCAGACACGCACAGCCAAGCCCACCCACCACATCCAGGAGTTCCTTGATCTTCACGTCATTGAGGGTGAAGCCGATCCACTCCTCTTGAGCCCTGACAAAGCAGCGTGTACCACAGCACGCTGCACACCTTGGTACACACAGCCAAGCGGCAAGCCCATACACGTGCAGCCAAGCCCCAAGCACAGGCCCACACACCCACTCACCGCATCCATGAGCTCTTTAATCTCCATGTCATTGAGAGTGGACCCAATCCGCTTGAGCCCGGCGCGCAGCTCCTCATACGTGATGGTGCCGCTGCCGTCCGTGTCCATCATCTTGAACGTCTCCTTGAGCCTCGAGAGACCAGCTGCCCAGCACGTGTCCCAAGCACGCTGCAGCACACTCACCACCGTCACGTGCAGCCAAGCCGCTCAACCACAGATAAGCACAGGCACTCACCGCATCCATGAGCTCCTTGATTTCCATATCATTGAGCGTGGATCCGATCCGCTTGAGCCCGGCGCGCAGCTCCTCATACGTGATGGTGCCGCTGCCGTCCGTGTCCATCATCTTGAACGTCTCCTTCAGCCCCGAGATCTCCTCCTCCGACATGCTCTCTGCGATCACCCGCAGCGCCATCTTCTTCAGCTTGTTCATCGCCGTGAACTGCTTCAGCCTAGAAAGCACAGCCGAGCCCAGTGGCTTATCTGGCGCCACCCCGTCCTTGGCCACCCACGGATGGCCTGCAGGGAGGGAACAGTGACAGGAAAGGGAGACCAGAAAGAGCACGGGTTGTTCAGGTGAAGCCGCTGTCGTCAGTGTCCACCACCATGCCTTGATCACGTGTAGAGAGGGTATTTTTGGGACGTCTCAAAAATACCCTCTCTACACGTAATCAGGTGAAGCCGCTGTCGCCAGTGTCCACCATCATGCCTTGGCCGCGAGCCCAGGGATGATCTTCACAGGACCTCCTCCTCCGCCGACATGCTCTCTGCGATCACGCGCAGCGCCATCTTCTTGAGCTTGTTCATTGCTGTGAACTGCTTCAGGCGCGACAGCACGGCGGAACCGAGAGCCTTGTCGGGCGCCACTCTGTCCTTGGTCACCCACGGATGGCCTGTGAGGAGGCGGGAGGGGAGGGAGAGGGAGGATGTAGGGGAGAGAGACATAAGAAGTGACACCATGCTCTCTGCGATCACCCGCAGCGCCATCTTCTTGAGCTTGTTCATCGCCGTGAACCGCTTCAGCCGGGAGCGCACAGCCGAGCGCAGCGGTTTGCCTGGTGCGACTCCATCTTTGGGCACCCACAGATGGCCTGATAAAATGGAGGGGAGAGAGGGGGGCGAAAAAGGGAGAGGGGTGGACGGTATGGGGGAGGGGAGGAGGAGGGCGTAGGGGAGACGAGACGAGCTGAAGGGAATAGGGGCAGGCAGGTTAGGTTAGAAGATTTTGGAGCCTGCTCAACACAATCATATGCAGGTGGGAGAGTGTGCAGTGGGGAGGGGAACAGGCATGTGAGTAGGAAGGAAGTGACGGACAGAGGACAATGGCAGGGGGGAACAGCAACAAGGAGGTAGGGATGTGGTTCATGGAGAGGGCCTGAGAGCCACGAAACCACAGAGAAACTCCCTCGGGCAACTGACACAGCAACTGGCAGCGCCACTGACAGAGCAAGTGACAGCGAGGGCAGTGTGGGGCACTCACAGAGGACGTCGTAGGCGGAATAGCGCTTCTTGGGGTCGAGGCAGCACATGTGGCGGATGAGGTCCTTAGAGTCCTCACTGATGGACGGCCACGGTGCACCCCTTCCCCCCTTTTTCTCCTCATTTCAAACACGGGCAACGCACCTGACACGCCCATTTCCATCATCCCACACATGGTCAAAGCAACTGACAGAGGGAGTACTGCACTCACAGAGAACGTCGTAGGCGGAGTAGCGCTTCTTGGGGTCGAGGCAGCACATGTGGCGAATAAGGTCCTTGGAGTCCTCACTGATGGACGGCCACGGGTCCGACTCAAAGTCCAGCTCGCCCCGCAGCACCGCCTCGAATATGCCCTGCTCCGTCTCTGCAGGAGGAGGGGGTCGACAAGGAGAAGGGGTACAACGATGGTGTTTACTCAATGCCACCGCGCCATGTGCAGCTCGCCCCGCAGCACCGCCTCGAATATGCCCAGCTCCGTCTCTGTGTGTGGGTGGGGTGAGTGGGGAAGTATCGAGGCAGGGGGACGTGCGGAGCAGCACGCTTGCACGTAAGCATCGAAATTACAACGGGTCCGACTTAAAGTCCAGCTCGCCCCGCAGCACCGCCTCAAACACGCCCTGCTCCGTCTCTGCAGGAAGGAGGGGAGGGAAGTGAAGGGGCAGGAGGGCACATGCGCATCGACACTGCAGCGGTTCAGTGCACGAGTCCAGCTCGCCCCGCCGCACCGCCTCGAATATGCCCTGCTCTGTCTCTGGCGCACGTTGTGTGGGGCACGTTGGGACGAGGAGAGGGGGGGGAAGGAGGGGGGGGCGGGGGTGTGGGGGGGTTGGGGAAAGCGTTTAAGATATACATGCAGGTGAGTGAGCAACGACATGGCGGTGCTTCAGTGCGCAAAACCAGCTGACAACTAACCTTCCGCTTTTGGTACATAATGACACACATGCCCACACATCCGCCTTACGACTAATCTTCACCTATAACTCAATTGAAACCTTCTCTAACGGGTATACAGACCTACCCGGACGAAAAGAAGGCATGCTTATCTAACCACGTACCAGCACGCCGCAGAGGAGGATTTAGACAATGACACCAATGCTCCATGCGTCCCCCTTTTTATTACCTCATAAGTCTATTAAAGTATACTCAAAGGTGAAACTGCATATCTATTCACGGACCTGCTCAGAAGGGAGGCACGCCACAATGACACCCATGCACCACACGTCCGCTCCGCCTTATAGCAACCTTTACCTTTGTGGCAAACGAGGCTCCTTCTAACAGGTACACACCTGCCCAGAAGGGTGGCACGCCGGAGAGCAGGATGTAGATGATGACGCCCATGCTCCACACGTCCGCCTTCTCGTTGTACCGCCGCCGCAGCACCTCCGGCGCCACGTAGTACGGGCTGCCCACCACGTCCGACAGGTACTCGCCTGGCGGGAACGAGGGGAGAGGGGAGGGGGGAGGGGGAGGAAGCGGGGAAGCAATAAACGCCATCTTCGGCGCCACGTAGTACGAACTGCCCACCACGTCCGACAGGTACTCGCCTGGCGAGAGGAAGTGGGGATGATGGGGCAGAAGGGGGGGTGGGGAGAGGGGGAGGGGGAGGGGGAGGGGGAGGGGGAGGCAGGGACATGAGGTGAATCGATCCAGGAAGACACCTCCGGCGCCACGTGCGACAGGAACTCGCTTGACGGGGAGGGTGGGAGGGGGGTTCGGAAGAGAGGGGGGGAAAGGAAACGAGGACAAGGTGAATCAATTAGGAGAATCTCGGGCCCCACATTGTACGGATTGCCCAGCACATCCGCCAGGTAGGTACTCGCCTGGAATAACAGCCGCACATGTGCGTGCTGGCAGAGCGGCACATAAGAGGGGGTGGAGGGACGTGGAAGAGTAGGAGCGCTGGGGAAAGGGCAAAACGGGGGGGGAAGGGGGGGAGGAGGAGCAAGTAAGGGCGAGGGAAAAGGGAAGAGAGGGGGTTCGGAGGCAGGTGGAAGGGGATGAGGAAGAGCGGGGTGGGAGAGAAGACTAAACAAAATTATCAATAGGCACCTGGGGAGGCGTAGCACGCAATGCACCGCACTACACGCACCTGGCTTGAAGAAGTAGGAGAGGCCGAAGTCGGTGGCCTTAAGATCAGCGGTCTCGGACTTGCTGGCGAAGAGGAAGTTCTCCGGCTTGAGGTCGCGGTGGATCACGCCCAGCGAGTGGCACGCCTCTATCACCTTCGCGATAGTCCGCGTTAGCTCCGCCGCCTGCCGCTCACTGCGGGGAGAGGGGGGGGAGGGGGGGGAGGCCAAGGGGGGGAGGAACGGGAGGGTTTGAAGGGGCAAGGGGTACGTAGAAGGGGGAAATGGACGGATTTGGGTAATTGGGAGGAAGAACAGAGGAAGGAAGCGAAGAGGAAGCAGGCTGGCAAAAGTTGGGGGTTCATGTTGGCGCGGGTGAGTGGGCGCGTATGCATGTATGAGCGTGTGCGTGCGTGCGCGCGTCAGTCTGCGTGTGCGCGAGCGTGTGACGACGGGTGAATGTGCGTGCGTATGCAAGCGCATGTGGAATGTGTTTGTCTGTCCTTGACAAGCTATTGAACCTCACTCGTTCTGGACTCCGACGCTTAAGCTGCTTCACCAAAAACGATAAATTCTATATCGAATGTGAAACAAGAAGTAAAAACACTTTTCGGAGACGAAAAAAAAAAAAGTCGCATGCACCGATCACGCTGGTGCGACGAAATCATCAACGGCTCCTCCATTGATCGAAAATATGGTATTTTGTGAACGGCTCCTGGACCTAGTTACCCAGACATTTCCCGCCTGAAGCGAACGCTCCCCATGTACGTTGCGACAACTAATAAATAGACGTTACAAAAACAAAAACGATCACGATACGGGTTACACTCCGACGCTTACTTGTGATGAACTTTTGTAATGAAGCGCCCGAAGCGCTCGCCTTCCCCCGGAGATGGTTAAAAGTGCAGACGAGTCTTAGACCTAATGACTCAGGAGTAACCCCATCAGCAAGCGTTCACCATGTGTCTGCCATGAAACTTATATTATGTGGCGGCACTTGAGAAAACAAGCTCTTACCTGTAGTGGCCCTTTTTAATAATGCGCTCGAAGAGCTCGCCTCCCGTGCAGAGCTCCATGACAATGTGCACATTCAAGTGATCCTCGTACGCTCCTTTGATGCACACAATGTTGCCATGGCCCGCCAGGTGATGCATAATCGCCACCTCGCGTTTCACGTCCTCCACATCCTCCCTCGATATAAGCTTCTTCTTTGCAATGGTCTTGCACGCGTACTCCTTCCCCGTGGCTTTCTCCGTGCAGAGAAACGTTACGCCGAACTGGCCCTGGCCGAGCTTCTTCCCCAGCTTGAATAACGACTCCAGTTGCTCTGCGCGAAATGCCGCAGTTATATCATTGTTAATCATGTTGAACACCGTCGCTAAATTTAAGTGGAAACATGTGACAATGGATGTTATGTATATTTGAAGCTTGCGAAATGTGTCAATGTATCTACATTAGACCATGAAAAGGGGAACCGAGCATAAGCTATCTTAGAAGGAATGGAAAAAAAATGGTAGCAATGAGACGACGAAAAGGCTCCTGCGCAACGGACACTAAGTTAATCAGGAGAGCAAGTAAATACCTGTTCTTCTACCCAAGACAGATCCATGAATAGCGTGGCCGGGAGCCAACCGCTCGTCAGCAAACTTCACTCTCCGGTCACCCATTATATCCACCAGTTTCTATTTAGAACAAAAAAAACACCAGAAAAATATCCGACGACAGCTATTTCCGGTTTCGCTGCGTGTGAAGCTACCAACGAAAACCGATAGCTCCTACTAGAGCTGGAGGATAGGTGCTGGAAGAGTGATGCCTGGAAATTGGAGAGTGAAGCATTCAGGCAGACCTGAAGTTCCTGAGACTGTGGTCCAGCGGAAAGGCGGTGCTCTTGGGAACCCTTGACTCTCACTCACTCCACCAAAACCTGAACGAGGCGAGGGGCACGCCCAACAACGAACCAACCGCTCTTCCTCTCCAGACCACTTCTCCAGCCTCGGAACCGAACACCACTCACTTTTTCACGGGACGGAACGGAAAGAGATGGCATGGGACGGGACGGGATCCTTTTTCACTGGTATCTTGCATCTGTGCGACTGGAACTCCAGGTTGCCCCTTCAACACGGAAGCCGTCACCTGAAAATCTTTTAGCAGAATACGCCACCGTAAAAGCCGGAAAAAATGCGCGTGTAGATTGGGCTCGTCGTCAAACTAACCAATGCCACCCTGCATTTTTCTGTACAGTACAAAATCACGGTCGGTCCGGCAGGAGTTGAAAGCGCGATGCCGGCACAAGCAAAACTTTAATTTGAGTCCTGTCTGCCCACTCTGTTTTTTTGGGTGAAATGTCGAGTGTTCAACCCCGTTTTACCACTTTCATTCGCGTTATTAGTTCAGGGTTTAGACGGAAATATAGCTCTTGTTTCTCACCAACAAGCTTGTTGCTTTCTTTAGCAATATTGACTCACAACATCAATATTGCTTGTTTATGTACCTACTTGATATTATGAATTAGTTTCCACCACGCAAAAGCGTATACCTATGTTCAAGTCTCATTCTTGTAGATAGACCCTACACTAATCGGGCCCATTATGGTCAAATTGAATGAAAGAGTGTGGAAGAGTTTCATCTCTAAGAGTACAACTGCTGCCCTTCCCCAATTAGGGGAGCATGGCACCAATGACTACAACCACAAGCATACTAAGAATATGTAGGTTCCAAACCCCCATACTCATCCCTATTCCAGCAGCTTTAGAGGCTGCTTGATCGATTCCCAATAAATACCTACACTGCTCCTGGGTAGGATTGTTCTGCACCACTTCCGCCACCCCCTTGAAGTCACACGCCCCACCCGACTGGTTATTCAGCTGGAAGTAACTATTAAACGCATAGGTCGCAACCTTTGCTGTGCTCCCATTAAAGTAACACGACCCTCCAACCTGTGCAGGCGTGCAATCCGAAGGCTTCGTATCCCCACACGCATACGTCACCGCTTCTGCCAATTTCTGCGGGTCCGCACCCTCCTTGGCCACACACCACCGCCCGGGGTACAGCACAATCCCTGTTGCGCTTTCCAGAGTGACATTCTTCCCGCCGCCTGTTAAATCCAAGGGGTATTTCGGGGTCCCGTCCGCGCGGAAAATCCCCCAGTGCCTCTCGAACGGGCCGGCTAGAGTAATCTTCCGGTCTTCGTCTGAAAGCGCGAAGAGGTACCCACTTAAGATTTGATTTGGCCGGGCCGGCGTGCCTTTTCCTGACAGCATGTGGGCGAGAATGGCCTGGTTGAAGCGATAGGCGTTGTCCACTGTGGCGTAGCCCCTCGTGTCACCCTGACCGTCGGATGGCCACCCGATCTCACCGATCTCGATCGGCAGCTGCAGAGAGGAAGGGGGAGTGGGGTTGGGTGTTGAAGGGAGGGAAGAGGAGAGAGGGAGGTGGTTGGGGAGGGGGGAAGGGGGGGGGGAGAGTGTGGTGAGTGAGGGTGGAGGTGGGAGAGCTGGTAGTGAGAGGGGCTTAAGGGGCAGAGCTAGTGGATAAGCATGGGAAGGGAGCGACAGGGCGGTGAGGGGGGGGGAGGAGGTTCAGAGAGGAGAGGGTGGAAAGGATCGGTCTGGGAATGGCGGAAAGTGAAGTGACGGAAAAGTGTGGTGGGAATAGAAGAGTGTGCCGGTGAGGAGAAGCAGGTACAGTGAGACCAGCATTATTCCCACACTAAGCCCCACATTCAGCCCCACAAGCAGCCTCAGCCTCCACTCACATCGCCATATTTGATCTCATTCAGAGTAGCCACCACAGCATCAAACACTCACAATGATCCCACAAGGATCCCCACATTCAGCCCCTGCCCCACATTCAGCCTCAAAGCCTGCCCCAGCCTGCACTCACATCGCCATATCCGATTTTCTCTAGAGCGGTCACCACAGCATCAAGCGCCCACAATGATCCCACAATAATCCCCAGATTCAGCGCCTGCCCCACATTCAGCCCCACAATAATCCCCACAACCAGCCCCGCATGTAGCCCCACATTCAGCCTCACATGTAGCCCCACATTCAGCCTCACATGTAGCCCCACATGTAGCCCGACATTCAGCCTCCACTCACATCGCCATATCCGATCTTCTGCAGAGCAGCAACCACAGCATCAAACGCCCACAATGATGCCACATGCAACCCCGGCCCCACATTCAACGTCACATTCAGCCCCACAATGATCCCCACAACCAGCGTCCTCACTCACGTCGCCGTATCCAATCTTCTGCAGAGCAGCAACCACAGCATCAAACGCCCCGTCGAAAATGTTGTCGTATTTCAGCCCGCTCTTCGGGTCCTTGAATTGCCACGCCTGCCCGCCAGGCTGCCCCAAAAAAACCTGGTGCAGCCCGATCGCCCCCGTCGTGTCCTGATGCAGCGTCAGAAACGGGTAGATATTTATCGAGAACGTTCCACCTGACTGCTTCAAAATATCTGCAATCGCAGTGATATCCTCCAAAATATCCCCTCGAACCTCGCCCGAGGACGGCGGGTAGGAGCTCCCGAGAATATCCGCGTTAAGAGGCACGGTCAGCTTGATTTTGTCGTCTAGTTTGGCGTCCTGTAACGCACTGTACATGTTTCGCATCGCCGGCACCACTGCTGACTCGTACATGCCCTGGTAGCCCTGAAGGAACGGCTCGTTCCCCACTGCTATCTCCCTGCAAGCAGAGGGGGTGAGGGGGAAGAGGGAGCAAAGCGAGGGGTGATTTGGGAGGTTCGTACACGCCTTGGTAGCCCTGCTCTGCAGGAACGGCTCGTTTCCCACTGCTATCTCCCTGCAATCAGGGATGAGTGAGTGGTGGGGAAGGGGGGTGCGAATGGGTAATGGGGAATTGAGGGAGAGTGACTCGCGAGGGACTCGTACATGCACTGGAAGCCCTGCAGGAAGGGCTGGTTCCCCACGGCTATCTCCCTGCAATCAGGTGAGGAAGGGGGGAAGAGGGACGAGAAGGGGGTAGGGTAGAGATATAAGGTCATCCAGGGAGATCGCACTGTACAAGCTACGCATCGCTGGCACCACTGCTGACTCGTACACGCCCTGATAGCCCTGCAGGAATGGCTGGTTCCCCACGGCTATCTCCCTGCAATCAGGGAAAGAGGGGAGGGGAGAGTGACGGGGGAAATGGGGGGGAAAGGGGGAAAGGGTTCATTCAGAAGCCTCGTACATGCCCTGGTAGCCCTGCAGGAAGGGCTCGTTGCCCACGGCTATCTCCCTGCAATCAGGGAAAGAGGGGAGGGGAGAGTGACGGGGGAAATGGGGGGGAAAGGGGGAAAGGGTTCATTCAGAAGCCTCGTACATGCCCTGGTAGCCCTGCAGGAAGGGCTCGTTGCCCACGGCTATCTCCCTGCTCCCAGAAGAGGAGGGGAGGGGAGGGGAGGGGAGGGGAGGGGAGGGGAAGTGGGAGAGAGTGAGGGAAGAGGATGGGAGGGGGGAGAGAGTTTGGGGAAGGGGGACGAGGTTGAGGTATTCGATATGCAGCATCACCGCCACCTCGATGCCCGTGCCCACCAGCATCAGGCATACCTGATGATGCATGGTGTTTTGGGGAACTACCAAAAACACCCCCCAAGGCACGTACCTGATGTTTGGGGGTGTTTTTTTATTCATTTATTGAAAGACACCCCGCATCGGCAGTACCTGATGTTGGCTCCCTTTGGGAACACGAAGGGAGAGACGTTGTTGCTGAGCCACTTGGTCGCCTCCTTCTGCGAGCCGGCGACGAGGTTGAGGTAGTCGTTCTGCAGCATCACCGCCACCTCGATATCCGTGCCCACCAGCATCAGGCATACCTGATGTAGGATGATGTTTTGGAGAACTTCCAAAAACACCCCGCATGACACCTACTTGAAGTTGGAGGGTGATTTTAAGATTAATTGAAAAAAACTCCCCGCATCGGCAGTACCTGATGTTGGCCCCCTTGGGAAAGACGAATGGAGAAACGTTGTTGCTGAGCCACTTGGCCGCCTCTTTCTGCGAGCCGGCGACGAGGTTGAGGTACTCGTTCTGCAGCATCACCGCCACCTCGATGTCCGTGCCCACGAGCGCGCGCAGGATGTCCACGTCAGCTCCGAACAGCTTCAGCCGCTTGATGCCGTTGTCCTGAACCGGGGTTTTGCAGCATGGGATGATAGAAGCGAGGAATGATAGCATCAGAAGACAAGAGTGAAACGCGTATCTTGGATTCCTCCTAATGCGAACGGCTTCAGCCGCCTGATGCGGTTGTCCTGCGAGGAACTGAGGATTACCTAGCCACTGTGCAATTCATGAACTATGTACTCTGTAGCAGTCCCCACGTATGCGTGAACCTACTTGAAGCAGCTTCACGACGGCTTTAGGCGGCATCTGCTGCCACGAGTTGCGGCCCCAGCACACGCCGATGGGCTGGGAGAATGTGTCGGCGGCCGCAGGCTGCACGCCGATCGTGCTGCTCGCCGCGGCGAGAAGCAGTACCGCGGCAGCGAAGCAGTGCCTGATGGCATGATTCGCGAAAGAATACGCCGACGGCTTACTGCAGAGAGATCGCCAGAACGTGTGTCGCAGAACCATGATGGGCTAAGCTGGTTAGAGATAAGACTAGAAATATGTTATTGATAGTAATGCGCCTCGGTCTAAGGAGAGAACTTAAGTCCCTTGGGAGGAATATCAGTTCTCAAGATCTGCCTAGAGTTTGTTACTGAATGCGTACTCAACACAGGGTAACACCGGGGCTTCTGGATGCCTGAGCACAAGGTATACAGAGGTAGCACGAGACGTACTACTAACAGAACTCCTAATGCTCGCTTGGACAGGGGTCCACAAAAGGAAGAAAAGGAAACGGATGTATTAGGAAGACGGCGGGCTGGGTTTATTCGACAGCACCAAGGTCGGTCGGAAATCGAGGTGCTTTCCAGTAGTAATCACCACCTCATTGATTGATTGTCATGAAATGTGCGTGGACGTTGCTAGCACGGCCATCCCCTTCGTTCCGACCGTTTTCAGGGAGTCCGGAAGTGCAAACCAACCTCGAGATTTCCTGAGGAGCGCCTGTCTGATGCGAGTCACGCGACCTCGAGTTTCCCCAATTCCAAAAGCAGACTGGAAGGTTCTGACATCGAACCGCGCATGTCTTTTCCCCATCGACTGCAGCACCTGCCGAGGCGCACAGCCTGAGCAGCTGGGGGTCGGCTCGGCTCTGCGACGGTGGCCTGAGTCGTCTGACGACTGTTGGGTCGCTGACCGACATTTTTACCGGACATGCATGTTTGGTGTACTAAGGGGTCCGAAAGTGTACCATATTCTTTGTAGCATTCAGAACAGATCAATATTCATTATTGTTTGTGCCAAAGTTTCAGTCAACATGGCATTATGACAACACCAGTTTACACCATGGAAGTTACATAAATTGCACGTTACACCGTTCAGAGGTCCTCGCCTAGCAAGTTGATGACGGTATTGACGTCCTTGTCTCCGCGGCCGCTAAAGCACACAATGACCTTGGTGCCATCGCCCAGCTGAGGGCAGAGGTACTCCAGGTATGCCAACGCATGGGACGTCTCAAGGGCTGGGATGATGCCTTCCAACCGCGACACACGCTTGAATGCTGCGCACCAACAAGCAAGGCACAGATGAGAGAAGAATGCTACCATGCAGGGCCTTATCATTGTCATCCATGACACTCAGCACTCTGCCCACTCCATGGCCTTGAGAAAACCTCATTGGAATGCTCTCCTTCCCCACTTGCCCTCCCTTACCTCGCAGTGCTCATCGTCTGTCAAACTGAAGTACTTCGCCCGCCAAATGTCCTTGAGGAAGCTGTGCTCAGGGCCCTCAGAGTTTTGAGTCGACTCAAAACTCAACTTATCACACACGGCTTATATGTGGTGAGTCGACTCAAAACTCGACTTATCACACTCCGCCCGCCAAATGTCCTTGAGGAAGCTGTGCTCAGGGCCCTCAGGGTTAATCGGTTTTCGAGACATCTTAAGAGTCCTCCCCCCTATTGCCCTCCCTTATCTTGCAGGGCCTCATCGTCCGTGACACTGAAGTACTCTGCCTGCCCAATGTCCTTGAGGAAGCCGCAAGTGCATGCATCTCCCCACCCTTGCCAGCCCCTCCCCACGCTCCCCTCTTACCTTGCAGTGCCTCAACAACGTGACACTGAAGTACTCTGCCTGCCCAATGTCCTTGAGGAAGCCGCAAGTGCATGCATCTCCCCACCCTTGCCAGCCCCTCCCCACGCTCCCCTCTTACCTTGCAGTGCCTCAACAACGTGACACTGAAGTACTCTGCCTGCCCAATGTCCTTGAGGAAGCCGCAAGTGAGTGCATCTCCCCACCCGTGCCAGCGCCTCGTCGTCATTCACACTCAAGTACTCTGCCCGCCCAAGAGAGCTCCACTTGGTACATGATACATCTCCCCACGCTCCCCTCTTACCTTGCAGGGCCTCGTCGTCAGTCACACTGAAGTACACTGAAGTACTCTGAAGCACTCTGAAGTACACTGAAGTACACTGAAGTACTCTGAAGCACTCTGAAGTACACTGAAGTACACTGAAGTACTCTGAAGTACACTGAAGTACACTGAAGTACTCTGAAGCACTCTGAAGTACACTGAAGTACTCTGAAGCACTCTGAAGTACAATGAAGTACACTGAAGTACTCTGAAGCACTCTGAAGTACACTGAAGTACACTGAAGTACTCTGAAGTACTCTGAAGTACTCTGCCCGACCAATGTCCTTGAGAACGCTGTGCTCCAGGCCCACTCCGGCCTCCTCCCCTCTCGCCCCCCTCCCCCTACCACATGTCCCTGAGGAAGCTGCACTTGAGTCAATCTCCCCCCCAGTGCCCTCTTACCTTGCAGTGCCTCGTCGTCAGTCACACTGAAGTATTCCGCCCGCCCAATGTCCTTGAGGAAGCTGTGCTCCGGGCCCACCCCGGGGTAGTCAAGGCTGTGGAAGGAAGCACGGAGAGAATGCAGGGAGGACAGAGGAAGGTGGAGAAATGAGGGAGTGAAGGGCAGCGCTCTCAAGTTCTCCGCCCCCCCAATGTCCTTGAGGAAGCTGTGCTCCGGGCCCACCCCGGGGTAGTCAAGGCTGCAAAGCGCAGGGCAGAAAGCGGACAGGGCAGAGAGGAAGGTGCCAAGGGAGTGGGAGTTGGGCAAGCTGTGTTCGGGGCCCACTCCAGGGTAGTCAAGGCTGCAAACAAAGGACAAACGAAGAGGGCAGAGCGCGGAAGGTGAGGGGAAAGTGGGACTCGGGGAAGCTGTGCTCGGGCCCTCTCCGAGGAAATTAAGACTGCAAAGCGGAGAGGAGAGAGGGAGGTGAGAAGATGGTGAGCATGGGGAATCAACGTCCAAGGTGGACCCACAACCCGCTCGTACTTCGAAGTGTAGTTTTGAGACGTCTCAAAACTGCTCTTCAGAAAGAGAGGGAGGTGAGAAGATGGTGGGCATGGGGAATCAACGTCCAAGGTGGACCCACAACCCGCTCGTGTTCGAAGTGTAGTTTTGAGACGTCTCAAAACTGCTCTTCAGACAGAGAGGGAGGTGAGAAGATGGTGGGCATGGGGAATCAACGTCCAAGGTGGAGCCACAACCCGCTCGTGTTCGAAGTGTAGTTTTGAGACGTCTCAAAACTGCTCTTCAGACAGAGAGGGAGGTGAGAAGATGGTGGGCATGGGGAATCAACGTCCAAGGTGGACCCACAACCCGCTCGTGTTCGAAGTGTAGTTTTGAGACGTCTCAAAACTGCTCTTCAGACAGAGAGGGAGGTGAGAAGATGGTGGGCACGGGGAATCAACGTCCAAGGTGGACCCACACTCGCTCCTACCCATATCAACCCAACGACAAGCTCACTCCCCCCGCGCTGATGCTGTGGAGTTCAATGATCTGCCCATCCGCGCGCTGCAGCAGGTAGCTCATGGCGCCGTGCAGCAGGCACACCTCCCCCTCCTCCACCGCACACACACACAGAGTAACTCCCAGACACCCAGCACTGCTGCTGCTGCTGCTGCTGCTGCTGTGATCCCATCCTCCCCCAACCCCCCTCCTCCACCCCACGTAAACACACACTTGCTCCCAACCGCCAAGCACTCACCCGGCGCTGATGCTGTGGGGTTCAATGATCTGCCCAGCAGCGTCCTGCAGCAGGTGGCTCATGGCACCATGCAGCACATGCGAGCACGAATTCCATCCCCATCCCCAGTCAGTCCCAGTTACCACGTTACTCACCCCACGCTGATGCTGTGCGGCTCCATGATCTGCCCACCAGCGTCCTGCAGCAGGTAGCTCATGGCGCCGTGCAGCACGCCCACCTCCCCCTCCTCCTCTAACACACACAGACACACACTCGCTCCCACTCAACTCGCCCCACCTACAAACCCACTCACCCGGCGCTGATGCTGTGGGGTTCAATGATCTGCCCATCGCTGTCCTGCAGCAGGTAGCTCATGGCGCCGTGCAGCACGCCCACCTCCCCGGCCGTCAGAGTCGCCGCATGCTTGTCCGTGTGCACACCATGCCCCGCCGCCTCCACGCCCACCATGCGCACGCCCTCGTCCTCCACGAACTCGTGGAACAGCCCCATGGCGTTCGACCCTCCTCCTACGCACGCCACCAGCACATCGGGCAGGCGGCCGAATTTCTCAAATGACTGCTTCTTGGCCTCGCGACCGATGATGGCCTGAAGTAAAGGCAGGGCGGCAATTTAGGGGAGAAAAATCAGGGAAGCGGAAGGGGGGTAGGAAGGAGGGCGGAGCGGAGGGAGGCATGGAGGGTGGGTGTTGCCATCTCATGAGTGCCCCGCCGCCTCCACTCCACGCCCACCATGCGCACGCCCTCGTCCTCCACGAACTCGTGGAACAGCCCCATGGCGTTCGACCCTCCTCCTACGCACGCCACCAGCACATCGGGCAGCCGACCGAATTTCTCAAAGGATTGCTTCTTGGCTTCCCTGCCGATGATGGCCTGACGGGCAGGAAGTAAGGAAATTTTGAGAGGGCAGAAGGAGGAGAGGCGTGGAGTGGGTGGGGTTACGAGGGAGGAGGGGGGGGACGTGATTATGAGTGTAATGAAGGAAAAGAACCATAGGGCTGCATGCAACAACTCAGTTCCAACACACACGAGAGGGGTGGTCAGTCAGACGCATCCGACTAAGGCGGGAGGGCGAAAGGCCGAGAGGATTCTTGACAGAGGAGAAAGGGAAGGTACCTGGAAGTCGCGGACGATCATGGGGTAGGGGTGGGGGCCGGCAGCAGAGCCGAGGATGTAGTGGGTGGTGTCCACGTTGGTCACCCAGTCGCGGATCGCCTCTGACGTGGCGTCCTTGAGCGTGCGCGTGCCACTGTGCACGGCACGCACCTAGACACGTGGAGGGACGGACACGTGAAGTGAGGGGAAGAGGGTGAAGATGTAAAAAATTCATGGTGGGTGATGGTGAGTGATAGTGGGTGATGGTGGGTGATAGTGGGTGATGGTGAGTGATAGTGGGTGATGGTGCGTGATAGTGGGTGATGGTGGGTGATAGTGGGTGATGGTGGGTGAGATTGGCAGATGTGATGCAGAGGTTCACGTAAGAGTATGACTTAAACTCTTGCCCTCCCCAATCCACGCTCTCTCCACACAGCGCTCACTCCACGCCCTACGCCCCTAACAACCCCCTCCTCCGCCTCTCCCCATTCCGCTACTCCTTACCCCCAGTTCAGCCCCCATTCCCTCTATCCCTCACAATTCACCCCCCCCACCCTTCCTCCCCCAACTCTCCCCTCCCCTCCTCCCCCCAATTCTCCTATCACCCCCAACCAACCCCCACCCCCCTTTCCCCGCACCTCTGCGCCCAGCAGGCGCATGCGGAACACGTTGAGCGCCTGCCGCCTCATGTCCTCCGCGCCCATGTACACGATACAGTTCAGCCCGAAGCGCGCGCACACCGTCGCCGTCGCCACGCCGTGCTGCCCCGCGCCCGTCTCCGCGATGATGCGCTTCTTGCCGATGCGCTTCGCCAGGAGCACCTGGCCAATGGCGTTGTTGATCTTGTGCGCGCCCGTGTGGTTCAGATCCTCCCGCTTCAGGTACACGTGCGGGCCGACGCGGCGCGAGGGGTCCGCGGGGTCGGGGCGCGAGTAGTGCTCCGTGAGGCGCTCCGCGAAGTAAAGCGGCGACTCGCGACCCACGTAGTCCTTGAGGATCGACTGGAACTCCGCCTGAAATCATTGAGACGAACGGGGGAGGGGAGGGGAGGGGGTAGGGTGGGGAGGGGGAGAAGGGATGCTGAGAAAAATGGAAATTGCGACCCACGTGGTCCTTGAGGATCGACTGGAACTCCGCCTGGAAAGGAACGCAGGGACGATGCTGCTGAGAGACATTGGAGTGAGGAGAAGGCGATTGAGACCCACGAAGTCCTTGAGGATCGACTGGGATTCCGCCTGGGGAGGAGCCCTAGATGGGAAGGGGAATGTTGAGAAGTGGAAAGGAGGCGATCGTGACCCTACCTTGAAGATTGCTTGAAACACCGCCAGCGAACGTGAAGGGATGCAGGGTTCGTTTTCACTGGCGAATATAGTTCCACTTAGACATGATTTTATTTTACAATCGCAATTCAGGGCTCACAGAAAGTCCCCAGTGCGATCAGCATCATACCTGAAATGCGGGATCCTGGACTGTCTCGTTGTAAACCTTCTCGAGATTATCCAAAGCGGCCATGAGGGTCTCTGGAACGTACTTGCCGCCGAACTGGCCATAGCGGCCGAACGAGTCAGGGCGCGCAAGATCCTTCATCTGGTGGGATTCAGAGGGTTTTACGAAGGAACGATAAGTGGCAGGTCAATGTTGAAGAGAATTCCGCTTTTTTATGAGGCAGAAAGACCAATATTTTCCCAAAATAAGGGAATCGCGACGATCGGATGCGCAGCAGCTCAACGGTAAATTGGAAATGTCAAGCCGCATTTGCTGACGGATTTTCTCTTTTCGCTGTTCTCGACCTCAACGAATCATCGGAGATGCTTGATGACTAAGTTGAATGACTTTCGCTGGCTACTCAAACTAAAATAGAAAACATCTTGAGACCTGTCTTCTGTATTCTCCGTGGTGATGACTGAAGGACTACGAAAGGTCTACCTTTGGTGAGTCAGCAGCCGCTGACTTGATCTCCGCTACAGCCCTGACCTTCGCCGTCCCGCGAACGCTCTTCGCGAGCTTGCTAAAACTAGCGGAGTGGCTCACGGGTTGCCATCCCACGGTTCGCCGTGAGCTGGACGCGGACAGACCAGACTGACACGTTGACAATGCAGCAGCACGGACCGCAGGCGCTTCAATGGCCGCCATGATAGTGTTCGGAAGGGAAAGACGCTTTTTGAACACTCAAGGGGCTGAAGATCACTATGCGGATGCCACTCAAGCAAGGACGAAGCTGCAAGCGCTCCTACTTGCCGCCAAACTCGGCTAGCAATGACTTCGAGAAATGCAAAGAAATGGGTAAGTGGAGAAGAAATAGGGGAAGAGCTGCTTTCCAAAAATGCTGCTGTGCACTGCAGTTGGGGAGGAAAGAGCGGGGGGGGCGGAAAACGAGGGAGTTGGGGGAGCTTGGGGGACGGTTTGTGGGGAGTTTGGGCGCATAAATGGTTCAACAACAGAAAGCCACGTCAGAGCAACATCAGTGCTGATTGTCAATCAGCAAAAAAACTGCTGACCAATCAGAGGAGCCTCGCTTTCGACAATTCTCTTGGTTTTGCCCCACGTCTCGCCAGTAACTCATACTCTTCGCATGGCTCCAATCTGGTTTCGCCTGCTTAGCGAAATATTTCCTGAAAGCCTTTCTGAGCATGTATGTAGTGGTGGGGGGGTGCTGCTGCACCAATCATGGGTGGGGATCTGCCTGACATCCCCAAGACTGGCCGTCTAGAAGTCAGATTTGGTAGAATCTGTGTTGTTGAAGTTGAGAGGATCGACGGTTCGTATGTTTCCAGATTGAATTTGCTCCACCCAACCGATAGGATTCACACTAGGAAAAGCTTGGGAATAGACTTGGATCCAGGAAGGAATAATTCACTTATGTAATGCAAGTAGCATACTATCAGGCTTGCCTTTTATAGGAGGCCCGTGAACCCGCAGTGGGAAGAGCTGTTTTAAGATCCCATCAAGCAGTATTGTTTCTGTGCTCAGGCGATGATACTAGAAGAATAAGCCACAATGGCGAGGCAACGGAAACCGATAAGGACTAACAGTGGAAAGAAAGGAGGACGCTTAGCTGCTTTCAAATGCTGCATGATATCGCTTGCACTGATTGCGATCGTGTGCATTCCTCTAGGTTACTGGAGAATCCATAGACGAGGTGAGCTTTCACTGGACTGCCCTGGACTTATCTGCATTTTAGATCGGATATTAGCTGGAACGATAATGTACTTCCCTATTTCTGGTTTGTGGTCTCAGGTCAATTAGCAGCAGAAGCTCTATCGTCTAGACGCAGCCTAAACGAGGTAATTACGGCATTGCGAATTTACCACGATATACAAGCAGCTGACTTTTCTGGCTTAGAACCTCGTCAACAGTCCACTGATTTGAAAATGTTGCCGAGCGTTTCCTTTTGCAGGAACCTGTTTTGAACCCTACAGACTTATCTCAAGGTGAAGCTTCATTCAGTTACTTACTTGACGCTGTTTTGCAGAATGTGCTGCTATTCTACTCCCAAATGTTGGCACTCCATCGCAATGCGGGTTGCGTCTACTTCTTGATTTCTCAACATTTTCCTTGCAACTTTCCTAAATCTTGTCCCCCTGCTAACCACGTGACTTTAAATTCGCAGAATCTTCGCACGTTGACGTTCGACGGCCTGAAATTCATTCTAACGATGCATCTGGAGGCGAATCTTTCGTGTTGACAGAACGCCAGAACTCAGATGCAACTGACAGACCTACCTTTAGTAGAGCTTCGGACGAAGTAAATGCTGACAACGATGACGTCCAAGGGCAGAACTTTGACTCATCGGAAGATAGAAAGACGATGACTCAAAGTTCCGAGTCAGGTGGTGATGGTGGTTTTGGCGGTGATGGTGGCAATAGAGGTGGTGTGGCTGCTGAAAGTGGTGGTGCTGGGGGTGATGATGGTGTTGATGCTGGTGGTGGAGATGGAGAGAGCAGTAGCTTACATTCAGCCAGCAATGATGCTAAGGCGGATGACAATGGCCACGAAGAATTGGAAGATACCCAGCGGAAAAGGCCGCTAGATTTGGGGATCCAGATGGTTCCAGAACGTGCGGAAGGTGCGGATGGCGATAGAGAGAAGAGCTTGGAGACGAATGGTGCAGAGAAGGAGGAGAGTGATGGGGAGGATGGAGCCACGGACGAGGAGAGTGAGGATGGCGGGAAGAAGAAACGGAGGAGAAAAAAGAAGAAAAAGAAGAGACCTTCCAAGAAGAGGACAGGAAACAGACGTAAGTGCTTCAACTCTTCTTCTGCTCATTTACCAACGGCTTTCTTCCCCCTTGCCACTCCCTATAATCTCAAGAATTGTCATCAGTGAAGCTCGCTTCGTCCCTTACTGGACATACTCGCCCAGTCCGCGTTACTGAATAAATGAGGCAGAGTGTAATTAGTCACATGATCTTCTAAGCCGCAATCCACTTCCTCAAAGTCTCAATAACTACTTCCCGTTCCCCTGATACCCCTCCCAACCCTCAAAATAGCTTGCGAGGTTGACTACTTAGAGAGTGGAGACAGCGTGCAAGTACCAGACTTGGAGGGACCCAGCCCCACAACCCCTCACTACGTCACCATGGAGCATCCCCCTGCTGCCGACTCCTCCTCCTCTTCCTCCTCTGCGCTCAGCCTCCTCGGCCGCTCCTCCAACACGTGGGCCCCACGCTTTGCTGGCCACCAGACGTGGCGACAGCGCGCTGACTCGTTCCGAGCTGGCAGGGCTGACTGGCCGCCAGAGGCGCAGGTGCACTGCGGCTTTGTGCAGTCGCCACCCGGCTGGCCGGGGACGGGGTTTGACATCTCCAAGGCGGATCAGATGTACTTGGAGCAGTGCCGCATTGCAGTCGTCTCGGCTATCTTTGCAGACTGGGACCACCTCAGGCTGCCTCAGCGCTCCAAGGTGAGACCTCTGAAAGGCATGCTCTGTATGTTTGTGCTAATTTCAGATGAGGCATCAGTGGAGGGGCTGGACGGGTCGAGGAGAACATCTTCCCTCCATGCCAAAAGGCAATGTGGGATTCCAGTGGCTGTCTCTAGGTGGTTAGACTAATCTCGCTCTCTCTCTCCCTCTCACTGCCCCTCTCCAGATCTCCGTGACAGCCAAGCGCAAGGCGTGTTTTGTGATATTCGTGGACGAGCAGACAGTGAGGGGGCTGTACAGGGACAACCTCATTCCTGATGCCAACGGCAAGGTGGGGCTGTGGCGCGTGGTGGTGGTGGCCCACCCGCCCTACTCGGACGCGCGGCGCACGGGGAAAATACCCAAGCTGCTGACACACCGCCTCTTCCCCAACGCCAAGTGAGTGTGTGGTCCGCCTTTGAGGTCGTGAGTTGAGGCCCTTCAGATGTGTGCTGTTGATGCAGTGCCTGTCGCTTTGATGGCTAGTGAATGCATATTTAAGTGAAACGAATGCGAGCACATGGACGAAGTGAACCTGCTATCCTCATTGTTCTCTCTCTTCAGTACCACAGCTACCCCCTGCCACCACCGGTGACAGTACGATTGCTACCGCTTGCCTCCACGCTTCCCCACTGTCGCCCGCCCAGGTATTCCATGTGGATTGACAGCAAGCTGCGGCTCTTTGTGGATCCTCTGATCATCTGTTGATCAATGTTTGCTATCCATTGTGGTGTCACCCTTCCCCCTGTCGCCCCCACTCCCCACTGTCTCCTGCCCAGGTATTCCATGTGGATTGACAGCAAGCTGCGGCTCTTTGTGGATCCGCTAGCCATCCTGGAACGGTTTTTGTGGCGGGGAGGGTTTGAATATGCCATTTCCAACCACTACGACCGGCACTGCGTGTGGGAAGAGGTGAGGAATGGAGGGCAGTGAGGAATGGTACAAGGTGAGAGTTTGGTTTGGGAGACATGGAGATATTGAATCCGTGGGGCGATGAGGAGTTGTACTCTGTCCCACAACAGGAGTGAGAGATTTAATCTTGTGTGCTGTGGCGTGCTGTTGCATTTTGTGGGATGACATGGCATGGCATGGTGTGGTATGGCATGTAACACGTTGTATGGCTTGGCGCGGCATGTCACGGTCGGTGCATGGCATGAGTGGTGCACGGCATGAGTGGTGCACGGCATGAGTGGTGCATGGCATGGCATGGCATGAGTGGTGCACGGCATGAGTGGTGCATGGCATGGCATGGCATGGCATGAGTGGTGCATGGCATGGCATGGCATGGCATGAGTGGTGCACGGCATGAGTGGTGCATGGCATGAGTGGTGCATGGCATGGCATGAGTGGTGCATGGCATGAGTGGTGCATGGCATGAGTGGTGCATGGCATGGCATGGCATGGCATGAGTGGTCACTGGTCAGGTGGAGCGCAACAAGAAGCTGGGCAAGTACAACGCGACGGTCATTGACGAGCAGTTTGAGGCATACAAGGCGGATGGGCTCACCATGTTCAACCCCTCTGACCCCAACAACCTGCTCATCAGCAGTGAGTGTGGACGCTTTTCAATTCATCTTTATAAATACAGGGCCAACGGGCATTCACCATGTTCCAGCGCTCCTGCGTCCACTCGAACCCCACCCCAAAGCTCTGTCACACATCATGCCTCTGCTCTTTGCCCCCTGCTCCCCACCCTCCTGCTCTACCATCGCCCCCCCTATGCTCCCCGCCCTTTCCAGATGTGCCAGAGAGGGGGGGTGATCATATGGACGCACAATCAAGCTTCTCAATCCCTCATCTGATCCCCACCTCCTTGCTCTACCACTCCCCTGTGCTCCCTTGCTCCTCTCAGACGTGCCAGAGGGGTCAGTGATCATAAGAGCGCACACAGCTGCCGCCAACCTGTTCTCGTGCCTCTGGTTCAACGAGGTGGACCGCTTCACCTCCCGCGACCAGCTCTCCTTCGCCTACACGTACCACAAGATGGCCCGTACCTCTCACCCACTGAGGTTGAATATGTTCAAGGTGAGTCAATGCTTTCAATGCAGTCAGTTCAGTCAGTGCATTCAATGCAGCCAACGATCGGCTCAGAAAACTTGACCAGCTCTCCTTCGCCCACACATCAAGATGGCTCGCTCGTGGCACCCACTCCGGCTCAACATGTTCAAGGTGAGTGGCTTAATGCAGTTAATGCAGTCAACGATTACTGGGTCAGCTCAGAAATGCAACCAGGTCTCCTTCGCCTACACGTACGTCAAGTTGGCCCGCACCCCTCATCCGCTCCAAGGTGAGTGTGTTAATGCAGTCAATACAGTCAACGCCCTTCAATGTAACCACCCTTGGCTCGAAGGGCTGTATTCACCGGTGCTTGAACAGGGCTGCCAGATCTCTGTGCTGCATGAGAAGAACTGCCAGCAGGGTCCTGGTTGTTTATGTGGTGGTGTGTTTTGTAAGGCGCCTCAAGGTACGGCTATTTCACCTGAATATTCAGTTGACTCAAAAGCCAACTCCTGGTTATCCATGTGGTGGTGTGTTTTATAAGGCGCCTCAAGTTACGGCTATTTCACCTGAATATTCCCGGTGCATGTGTGCAGGACTGTGAGCGGCGGTCGTTTGTTAAGCTCTTTCACCACAAGGCTGAGGAGGCAGCACTCAAGCTCGAGCGAGGCAGAGCTAGGTAGTTGGTGGACTATCTTCTGATGGGTAATACCAAGATCTGCATGTCGCGGCCTCGTTTATGAGTATTCTCATGTTTCTAATGTACACCATAGACTCCAGTGTCATTAAGATATGTGTCCATTGCAGGTGGTTCAGTTAGAAATTATGTTTCATTCCAAGCTGGTGGAATACCAGTACCTGAGATCAAACATGGATGGAGGCACCACGTAATCAACTGGTATCGAGTTACATTCTGTCATCATAAACAGCTGCTATGCTATGGTGCGACAACAACCCGCTTAGCAATGCAAACCAGCCTTATGTGCCGGCAGTAGGTGCAGCAAACTACAGGTTTACAAGTGAAGCTAACGGATTTTGTCAGCAATGGCAACACGGTGATAACAATCTATGCCTTTCAAGAGCAGCGGTTGTCTTTCTTCTCACTATAATAGCCACGCCAATCGCAGGCGCACATTTATTCAGTTACTGGTACTTTTCATGGTAAGCCCACAAACTCCTCCGAATCAACCTGTGGCCTTTTTGCATACCGTAAGATCTCCAACAGAGGTGAGAGTAAATTCCGCTCAAGAATAGCCATCCCCCGCATCTTCCGCCTCTTTCCCTCCTCAACCTCCTGCCTTGCTGTACACCTCGTGAACAAGGCCTAGCCAAAGTGACCTGCAAGTCCCTTCACTCCGCTCCCTCCCTCATCTCATCTTCATCTCCCCTCTTCATCGCCCCTCCTTGGCATACACCTTCTTGCGAATGACCTCTGGCCGGGTCTGCATGTCCCGTCCCGTCCTTCACCCACCAGTCAACCGTATCCTTCTTCCCTCTGAGCACCACTGAGCACCAGTCAACCGTATCCAGCCCCATACACCTCTGAGCACCACTCCCGTTCTGCATGTTCTGCACCCTCTGCTCCCCTGACCATGCCCCCACCTTTCCCTTTCAGAGCATCGCTCATCTCTTCTCCTTGGAATAAACCTTCTTGCGAATCACCTCCAGGCGGGTCTGCATGGTCCCGTCCTTCACCCACCACTCAACAGTGTCTTTCTCGCCATACACCTCCGAGCACCAGTCCATGTCAGCGCCCCTCTTGTGCACGTTCTCAAACCGCTCGTGCCGCACCGACTCCACTGACAGGTCTACGCCTCCTGTTCTTGGATCAACTACTTCACTCTCACCCATCAAGAACACCTGCCAGGGCGGGTAGTACAGGGGAGACAGGATAGATCAGGCCCTCTTGGGAATGTTTTCAAACCGCTCCTGTCGCACCGACTCCACTGACAGGTCCACCCCGCCTGTTCTTGGATTCACTACCTCGCTCTCCCCCATCAAGAACACCTGCCAGGGCGGGTAGCAAGGTGGTTGGTTCACAGGTGTTCTTGTCATGTCATGTCATGAGCTGGTTTTTGAGAATTCTCAAAAACCAGCGAGAATTCTCAAAAACCAGCGAGAATTCTCAAAAACCAACGAGAATTCTCAAAAACCAGCGAGAATTCTAAAAAACCAGCGAGAATTCTAAAAAACCAGCGAGAATTCTCAAAAACCAGCGAGAATTCTCAAAAACCAGCGAGAATTCTCAAAAACCAGCTCGTAGCAAGGTGGTTGGTTCACAGGTGTTCTTGTCATGTCATGTCATGACAGAGAGAGGGGAAAGTAAGGTCGCTCTGTCATGTCAAGTTTTCTTGTCCTGTCAGCGGCGCACAACTGTAAACCCGCACATCCCCCCGCTCCTCTCACCTTGCCAGTATTGGCCATGATGTAGGGGTGCCAGTATTGGCCATGATGATCAGTGGTGCCCCCGAGTCCCCGGGCACGGTGCCATCCACAGGAGGGTTCATCAAGTCCCACCGTGCCTCCCTTTTCTCACCGTGCCTCCCTTTTCTCACCTTGCCTCCCTTTTCTCACCGTGCCTCCCTTTTCTCACCTTGCCTCCCTTTTCTCACCTTGCCTCCCTTTTCTCACCGTGCCTCCCTTTTCTCACCGTGCCTCCCTTTTCTCACCGTGCCTCCCTTTTCTCACCGTGCCTCCCTTTTCTCACTGTGCCTCCCTTTTCTCACCGTGCCTCCCTTTTCTCACCGTGCCTCCCTTTTCTCACCGTGCCTCCCTTTTCTCACCGTGCCTCCCTTTTCTCACCGTGCCTCCCTTTTCTCACCGTGCCTCCCTTTTCTCACCGTGCCTCTCTTTTCTCACCGTGCCTCCCTTTTCTCACCGTGCCTCCCTTTTCTCACCGTGCCTCTCTTTTCTCACCGTGCCTCCCTTTTCTCACCGTGCCTCCCTTTTCTCACCGTGCCTCCCTTTTCTCACCGTGCCTCCCTTTTCTCACCGTGCCTCCCTTTTCTCACCGTGCCTCCCGTTTCTCACCGTGCCTCCCTTTTCTCACCGTGCCTCCCTTTTCTCACCGTGCCTCCCTTTTCTCACCGTGCCTCCCTTTTCTCACCGTGCCTCCCTTTTCTCACCGTGCCTCCCTTGTCTCACCTTGCCAGTGTTGGCCATGATGTATCGGTGTCCCCGGGTCCCCGGGCAGAAGTTAGCATCCACGGGAGGGTCGCCCTCAGAGCACAGGAAGTGCGGCCAGTGCCACAGCATGCGCTCCTGGGGCATCAGGCCCTTGGTGCGACTGCTCACCTGAGAAAGGCATAAAGACAAAGGTGGGAGGGGTGGAGAGGGGTGGACAAGACGGCATGTGGCATGGGGCATGGGCATGGGGCTTGGTGGTGCGTCGCGGTGCGAGGTGGTGTGTGGCGGTGTGAGGCGGTGCTGCAGCACAGTGCAATGCTTACCTTTGTTCCATGCATAGCTTGGTGCCCCAGACTTGACAGCCATACGACAGCCAGGGCACGTCGCAATGCTGGGAGAGGAGCTCCGAGAGGGAGGGCGGTGGGAGGATCCGGTGGAACGTGGTACAAAGAGGAGCAGTGTGGTGCAGTGCAGTGCTCACCTTGGTTCCCATGCACAGTTTTGTGCCCCAGACTTGGCAGCCATACGACAGCCAGGGCACGTGGCGGTGCTGGGAGAGAAGCTCCGAGAGGGAGAAAAGTAGCACAGTTTGGTAGAATGTAGTGAAGTGTGGTGCAGCGTGGTACAGTTCGGTGCTCACCTTTGTCCCCATGCACAGTTTGGTGCCCCAGACTTGGCAGCCGTACGACAGCCAGGGCACGTTGCGATGCTGGGAGAGGAGCTCCGAGAGGGAGGGCGGCGAGATGATGTGGAGGATGTCGTCCCAGTCTAGGAACAAGACCCACGAGGAGGTGAGTGTGGAGCGGTAGAGACAGTCGTGCATTGCCATGAGCTGATAAGGGAGAGGGAGTGGAACGGGGTTAAAGAAGGTGATTAGAGGAGGGGAGATGAGAGATGAGGGGACAAGGAGGGCGGTGAGATGATGTGGAGGATGTCGTCCCAGTCTAGGAACAAGACCCACGAGGAGGTGAGTGTGGAGCGGTAGAGACAGTCGTGCATTGCCATGAGCTGATAAGGGAGAGGGAGTGGAACGGGGTTAAAGAAGGTGATTAGAGGAGGGGAGATGAGAGATGAGGGGACAAGGAGGGCGGCGAGATGATGTGGAGGATGTCGTCCCAGTCTAGGAACAAGACCCATGAGGAGGTGAGTGTGGAGCGGTAGAGACAGTCGTGCATTGCCATGAGCTGATAGGAAGGAGTGGGGCGTTGTGGTCGTTTTTGGGGCGTTGTGGTCGTTTTTGGGGCGTTGTGTGCTCGTTGAGGCGCCTCAAAAACGACCTCAATGAGCTGATGGGAAGGAGTGGGGCGTTGACGGAGGGGGTAACAAAGATGGGGGGGGCATGAGGCGAGATGATGTGGCGGAGGATGTGGTCCCAGTTGAGGGAGGAACACAACCCATGAGCCGATGGGGGAGAAGGGGGGTGAAGGGGGGTGAAAGGGGAGGGGAGGAGAGGGGTGTTAAAGGGGGTGAAAACAGGGGGGGGAGAACGAGGCGACATGATGTGGCGGAGGATGTGGTCCCAGTTGAGGAACACGACCCAACCCATGAGGAGGTGAGAATGGTTTGAGCTGTGAACAAATGAGTTGATGCATGCCCGAAGGCGGGGGGCAGAGAGAGGGTGGTGGGGTGTAAGGCGGGAGGAGACGTGCGACAGGGTGAGAGGCTCTTAACCCCCCCTTAAACCCCAGAACTCACCTTCCCCTCGGCTTGAACCCTAAAGCGCACCACGTCTCTCGTCGACAGCACTTATAAGGAATTCTCATTCCAAATCTCCCTTCCCTTGCGCTTGACACCACAGCCTCAGAAATCACCTTCCCTTGCGCTTGACACTACAATCTCAGAACTTACCTTCCCTTGATCTTGAAACCACATTCCAGGACTCCCATTCCCTGCCTCTGCTCACCTTGCCGTGAGCCAGAACCTCAAAATGCACCACGTCTCGCACCGGCAGCACTTCTAGAAACTTCACTTCACGCAGCGTCGCCCGCTCCCCCCGCCGCCCCCTAAACCCAGACTCACCTTTCCCTGCGCTTGCACCCTGAAGTCACCACGTCTCTCATAGGCAGCACTTCCAGGGACTTCTCATCCAGAAACCCCTTCACTTCACGCTGCACCCAGCCAGTTCCCACTTAACCAGAGACCTATGCACTTGCCTTGCTTCCCGAATCACCTTTCCCTGCGCCTGAACCCTGAAATGAACGACATCCCTCATCGGCAGAACTTCCAGAAACTCCTTCCATTGCACTTCAGCCCGCAATCCCAGGTCTCACCTTCCCCTGGGCTTGCACCCTGAAGTGCACCACGTGCCTCACCCTCTGTCTCTGCTCACCTTGCCTTGCGCTTGCACCCTGAAGTGCACGACATCCCTCATCGGCAGCACCTCCAGAAACTTCTCATCCAGAAACTCCTTCACTTCACGCAGCGCCGCCCGGTCCACGCCGCCCGCATCGTACCCAACCACGTGCTCCGCTCCGTACGCCCGGTGCACATGCAGCCAATCCCGGAGCCTCGCCCCGTCCACAGGGTCGGCAATCGGGTACGTGCAGAAAGAGGCTCGGTACGGGTGGGTCGTGGACAGCAGCGCGTGGGTCGGGGAGTCCCGATCCTCCCGGTACAGGATTATATGCTCGTTGTCGATTCCGACCACGAGGTAACCGCCGAGGTTGGTAACCACTTTCCCGCGCAGGTCGCAGCGAATGATGATGGTTTCGTACTGCTCGTGCGGCTCGTCCCGCGGGTAGTGCAGCGATGGGTCCCCCAGTATTGTCACCCCGTCCGCCCCGTGCCATGTGCACGACGTGATCTTAACGAGGGAGGGGAGAGGGGGGTGAAGGGAGGGGGGAGGGAGGGGGGAAGGGGGGGGGAAGGTGGAAGGACGGAGGGGAGGAGGGAGGGAAGAGGATGGGGAGTGGGGAAGGTTTCGTAGTGTTGGTGGGAGGGAAGAAGGGAGAGAGGGCGATAGCAGAGGTTAATGATGGTTTCGTACTGCTCGTGCGGTTCATCACGCGGGTAGTGCAGCGATGGGTCGCCCAGTATTGTCACCCCATCCGCCCCGTGCCACGTGCACGACGTGATCTTAACGAGGGGGAGGGGGGAGGGCAGGGAAGAGGGGAGAGAGGGTGGGGGGGGGGGGGGGGGAAGAAGCGGGGAGAGAGGAGCGGGATAGGGGATGATGATGCTCTATACTGTTTGTTGGAGGGACGGAGGGGGGAGGGAGGGGGGGAGGGAGGGGGGGAGGGAGGGGGGAGGGAGAGGGATGGGAAATGGGGGATAGTGAAGGGGCAGTGGAGAGGACACGGGGGGACTCTGGGCGTCACACTGCAGGCTGCTGTTTCCGGCAATTTCACTCTCCTGTGCACCCACTCACCCACTCACCCACTCACCCACCCACCAGCCCACCTTCCCCACGTCCCACCCGTGACCTCACCTTCCTGTGCCCAGATGTTTTGTGATCTTAATATTTCCTCTTACCACATTCCCCTGTTACCACCTCCCCCTGTTACCACCTCACCCTGTTTCCACTCCACCTTCCCCTGGTCCCACCTTCCCCTGGTCCCACATTCCCCTGGTCCCACCTTCCCCTGGTCCCGCATTCCCCTGCTTCCAACCCCCCCCCCCCCCCCTCCCCACCCTTGATCCCTCTTTTTCCTGATTCCACCTCCCCCTGCCTCACCTTCCTGTGAGGCCGCAGCAGCGTCGCGCCAAACCCTACCCCGACCACCACGCCCTCCTGGATCCGATACGCGGACCACTGGACCAATCCGTACGTGCCACGTCCCACCATGCGGTGCTGCCGCCAGTTCTCGTTGCGCACGCCCTCCATGTGCCCCCACGCCGTCAGATTCAGATCCGCCTGGAGCGACGCGCACTGTTCCTTCACGTCGGATTTGATTCGCCGCACGTTCATGTAGATCGACAGGAGAAGGTATTGCACGGCGAACAGCAGCGTGATGATCAAGATCAACGGCCCAAATTTGCGGATGAATTTCACCACGTGCGGCGGGATGGGCGGTAATTGCCCGATCCCCGGGATCACGATTGCTGGTATGCCTCCGAGAGGTCCCGGGTTCGATCCCCGGTGTCGTCCTCCTCCTCCGCGGTATTGCCCGGGCCGTTGTGGAGGTCCTGCGCCTGGGCCTGAGGGAGGTGGTATCCGGTGTAGGTCGTACTCGCCGATAGGCTGTACTGGCTGCATTTTGAAATGTGGTCGGGTGTGTATCGAACCCGAGTTGAGAGTTGACGTTTTACGCACTCTCCGCTTCCCCGCAGCTTGTGCCTCCTAGGCTTAACGGGACTCCCGGAGTAGGCTGGGCACAAGGAGCAAGCGAGAAGAGGTTATACACGTATGAGCAAGCATCCACGTGGGTTTGAGATGTATCGTTGTTCGGAGAATGGGACGTTGTCTGACGACGTTCCAAGTCAAGGCTCGAAACCGCCAAATGCGTTCAAATTCTTGAATTGGAAATAGTAACCAGTGGAGATAGCAGATAGGACCGGTCCCAGTCAGCAGTGTCAGAATAAAAAACCCCACTTGCAGCCAACAACCAGGTTGTACTCTCTATAAAGCTGTGCTGCGTCCCGGAGGTAGCCTGGACATTACGTTCTGGTTTCCAAGATGCCTTGATTCGTATGTCTTATATACATATCGAAGAGTTTCTGATACGATGGAATTGATCTGTCGGTCAACGAACATTCGCGACGAAGCCAACAGAAATCTCGCACCGTCGAACCGAATCACCTTTCCCAAACACTCACGTCTATCTGCTGATAAATTCGCCGAACCGCGAAACCAAGCACAGAGCAGTCATGTCAGACCAGCATCACACGCAGTTGGCGAAATCGGCTCTTTCTTCGAGTTTTCGCGAATTTGACTATCTCCCAACAGACGTACCAGACCTATGCCTTCAGGCGTGGAAAACGAGGCCCGAACCTGAACCCACAAGAAACCAGCTCCAATGGCAGGCGGATTCAAGTCAACGCTGGCTGCCGAACCGAACAACAGAGACCACGCCAAACCCAAACCACCGCCTCTTGGCTGGGTGGTGGTGGTAAGGTAAAAGAGATGAAAGAGATTCACCTTCACTACCACTCCCTCAGCTTCATTCCTAGATTTCATCTTCATGTTAGTAGTCAGGACAGTCCTTTCTCTTCATAAGTTCTGCGTTTTCCAGCAGTCTGCAATTAGTGACTAGTCTCAGTCCAGAAACCTCAGTAGAATCTGTATAAGAGAGTCATTGTGATTGTCAAGGCTGAGAACCTTATTATTTGCTTCGATATAGTTCAGTCTCGAGCATACTTCAGTTTCTCCGTCTGTAGGATTCTAAAAAGCCGTATTGAGAATGAAGCCACTTCCTCCTGATGACGTCGGCCTGGCCAAGATGCGGCTCGTCGTCCTCCCTAAATCCGAAGCCGACGCACTAGACGAACTAATCGACGAAGCGTTAGACGCAGCGGACCCGGAGGGAGAGAGCGAGAGAGCATGGCGGCGCTACCAGGAGGACCTAGCCAATGAGCTGTCCGCCATGGCCAAATCCTCTGACCACCTCTGGCATTTCTTAGACGGCCTTGGCCGGCGTTTGCTGGAGAAGAAGCAGGCTCAGGCGGAGGGCCAGCACCGGCCGCTGAAACGATCTCCCGGGTCCATTTCCCGAGGTACGGAACCGTAGCTGCGTCAGGCGTAACACACCGTTCGTTAGGAAAATCTGCTGTTGCAATCGTAGTTTGTTTGGGTGCCGCAACAGCAACGGAACGGAGTTTTCTCTGTTTAAGTGCATCATGTCTCAGCTTGGATACTCTTGAGGAATATCAGTTGCGCTATTCATCCTCCTGCAGACGCAACTGCTTTTTTGGCATTCTCGTTTTAACCCTATTTTCCCATCACTCATTCATCCAATGATCCATTCATTTCCAGGCATTCTGCTTCTCCACGGGTTACTCCGGTCCTGCTCCGCCAATCAGGAGTCGGACGTCTGCAGCATGCTTCTCTCAACGTCAACCCGCAAGGACCGACCTTCCCTCGACCTCCCTCGTCTAGCCCGCCGCCTCCACTACACCGTCCCCGCTCCTTCCACTCTCCCCTCCGCCGCTGCTGCAGCGTCATCCCTCGCCGGTGACGTCAGCGATGACGCGGCGCTGGCCCGGTTCGCGCACGCGTACTGCGTGTATCTGCAGGAGCGGCTCCGGTGCGTGGATAGCATAGGGCTCCAGGTGTTCCGCAAGGGAGCGAAATCCGCAACCGGGGAAACCAAAAACGGGGAAAAAGTTGCTGAAAACGGCGTATTGGGGAATTCGGAGAGTGATTCGGAGCGGGGGTTGGGTGAAGCGTACTGGGTGCAGCTTCAGTCAGACGCTGTGCTGCACCAGGTGGCGTCGCTCCAGCAGCTGCAGCAACGGCTAGTTGACTGCGCCGCCGCTGCTCCCAGCGGCCTCGGCACAAGCTTCGCAGCACGGAAAACCGCAGCGGGAACAGCGGGGGGTGCAAACGGGGGAGCAGGCGGGCGTGGGAGGGAGAGGGAGGGGGAGGGGGAGAGGGAGAGGCGGAGGCGGGTGGTGCGGTATGTGCTGGAGGTGATGCTGGATGAGAGCTTCCGGGTGTATGGGTGGGTCAACTACGGGCTCATTGAACTCATGGAACGACTCTCCCGCTTCCCCAAGGAGCAGGTGAGAGCCACGGGAAAGTTCTGCCGCTGCAGGTCTTCTGTCTTGTCACTGCCCTCGCGAAATCATCCCTCACATCTTCCTTTTTGTTGGCGCTTCCGTGCCCTCCCATGCGCTCACATACCCACCCATGCTCTCCCTTGCTCTCCCTTGCTCTCCCATGCTCTCCCTTGCTCTCCCATGCTCTCCCATGCGCTCACATACCCACCCATGCTCTCCCTTGCTCTCCCTTGCTCTCCCATGCTCTCCCTTGCTCTCCCATGCTCTCCCATGCGCTCACATACACACCCATGCTCTCCCTTGCTCTCCCTTGCTCTCCTGTGCTTCCCGTCGCCCCGCACCCAGGCCATGCGCGCTCTGCAGGTGTGCCAGTTCTCGGTGCAGCAGGGGAAGGCGTTATCTGACATGTACACGCGCCTGGGTGCAGCGGGGGTGGGCGCAGGTGTGACCTTCCCCTCCGTGGCCGTGCTGGGGGACGGCGTTATTGGCAACCTCTCCGCCTCCGTTGCTGCAGGCCCGGATGCTGCCATGAGCGTTCCGCCCTCTCCCATGCACCGTTCTGCTGCTGGTAGTGGTGCTGCTGCTGCTGCTGGTAATGGTGGATTCAGCAGAGCCGGGAGTTTTGCTGATGGCAGTGCTGCTGGTAGTGCGAGTTTCAGAGGTATGGGACCACAACAGCAGCAGCAGCAGCAGCAGCAAGTGCAACATCAACAGCAGCCGAATCTGGACAGGAGTGACTCTCACCGTTCTCTTGCTAACACCATGGTGCTCTTCACTCCTGTCTCGGGCCAACAACCTGGTCATCCCCACTTCCAGCACCAGCACCAGCACCAATACCCGCACCAGCACCAGCATCAGCAGAATCAGCAGCAGCAGCAGATGGGTTATCAGCACCAGAACCCTCAAGGCCCCAGCCCGTACTACTCCTACAGCGCCTCTCAACAACCACCCCCCCAGCCCACCAGCCCTGCGCTCTCCCCTGCCGCCCAGCAGCAGCAGTTTGACGACACCGCTCAAGCGCTCTTTGGGTCGTATTCCTCGCAGCCCTCTCCTGCTGCTGCCTCTAATGCAGCCACGCAGATGAAGTACCTCACGAATGGTGCGCAGGGATGGGAACGTGCGCTTGATGCTACAGCTGGTGCTGCAGGTAGTGCTTCAGGTGGTGCTTCGGGTGGTGCTTCAGGCGGTGTTGCAGGGTCATACATGCCTCCGAGGCAGCAGGGGCAAGGAGGACAACATGCACCCCATCTTTATCATCAGCATCATCAGCATCATCAGCAGCAGCAGCAGCACCAGCAGCAGCAGCAGTGGGCACTAGCCGCTCCCGGGCTAAATGGTGGAAGCGGTACAGCTGGCAGCAGCCCATTGGATCAACCACCCATGACCGCCTTTTCTGGGGGCTGGGACCAGCTGTTACTGGACAGCCTGTATGAGGCGGCACAGGCACAGAAACACGCCTCTGATGCCACAGCAGCCAGATTGGGAGGAGCAGGAGGCAGTGGTGTAGGCGCTGGTGCTGCTGGTGGTGGTGGTGGGATTGGTGGTGCGAATGGGGATCCTTTTGCAACTTCTCCTGCGGTCCCGCCGCCGCCGTATGTCCAGATGGCACTTAGAGCGCAGCAGCAGCTGGCTATGGAGCTTCAGAGGCGCATGCTGAGTCAGCACGCGCGGTTTTTTGCGGCTGCGAGGTCGGCGGGAGGGGCGGATGCGATGTTTGCGGCGAGCTGGATGGTGCAGCGGAAGCAGATGCAGGTGTATCAGCAACAGCAGTACCAGGCGCGGCCGGGCGGGGTTGTTGTGGGGCCTTCGGGGCCGTATAACTGGAATGGAGTTGGTGTGCAATATGGCAACGTGCTAATACCATTCTGAGGATTTTGCCCGAACCGTTGGCCGATGAGTCAATCTGCTCTTCTGTGTGTGACTATTTCGTTATAAAGATGAAACGCTACTGAACATCTCTTTCCATCAACAACGTCTCACGAGTACGAGGAGAAACAATAGCGGGGTTGGTGTGAAGTCTCGATGAGATTCGGGTTACGAGTCTCTTTCGCCAGCTGTCGTCCTTCGTCCGGGCTCCACGCCACACATCCGCCAAGTCGGGACAATCCGCGCCCAATCAGAAATTTCGAACCACCTCGTCCAAGGCTGGATTCGTTCCATTCTCAGAACATCGAACCGCAATGTGCGCTTCGTAATTTGGAAATTGGAATTCGGAAGTTCCAAGGTCAGCCAAAATTAGCATTTCTTGAGCTGCTGCTTCTAGTTAGGTCCCAAAACAACCCTCTCCGAAGCTCCTTCCCATTAGTTCCGCCTTTCTGTCTCTCCGTCCTGATTCCTCGACTAGTATCGACCCACCCATCATTCCTCGCTTATTTCGGACGCATTTCGTTTTTTTTTTCCCCTTCCACACCAGCACCTGAGGTCGACTTATACCTGACACACCTTAGTTATTTTCAGCCTAGCATCATGAGGTCACGTAGCGTCCCTGTCAGCCTGTGGACGAGGCTGTCGTGGCCCAACCACGCGCTCATCCCGCGCAGCACGCTAGCCCTCGCCATAGTCTCGCTCTCCCTCACCTGCATCGCCCTCAGCGCCTCTCTCCTCGCCTCCTCTTTCATCCGCTCCTCTCCCCCCCCTGCCTCGCCCAGCAGCACTCCTCATCATGATGCGGCCTCGTCTGGCAACACTCTCCGTGGCCCCGTGCCGCGCGCTCGTCACAGCACAGTTGCAGATTCAGGTATGAGCGGAGATAAGCCAGGTACGACGGAGATTCTTGGAGGCATGGACGGATCAGGGGTAGAGATTATATCTGGAGACGCGACGACCCTGGCAGGTGGAGAAGAGGAGAATAATCCCCCTGAGAAATCAAAGAAAATGGTCCCTGGAAAAGTGGAGACGAGTGGTTTCAGGTGGTACGAGTGGGTGCTGGGGGCTTTTGCAAGCCCTCTGGGAGCTTTCAGCGACCTGAGGGTTCCGTATCATGCAGAGCAGAGAGTCCTGCCGTCTGGTCAAGGCTCCTCGGGTTCGAGACGAGAAGGGCGGGTGGTGGTCTCTGCTACCAATGGCTTGGAGGCGGTGATTCGTGGTGATGATGATAGTGATGATGGTGGTGGTGAAAGGGACGGAAGGGGGGAGGTTGTTGCAGGATCGCAGGAGGAGAAGGAGAAGATGGCTGATGAGGAGGAGATAAGGGAGGAAAAGGAGACGGGAGAAGGGGAGGAGGAGCAAGGGGAGACGCAGCTTCGGCACGTCATGTTCAACATAGCCTCGTCCCGAGCCACCTTTCCGTACCGCCGAGCCTACCTGCGCAGCTGGTGGCGCCCGGGTGGGGAGGAGGAGGAGATCCGCGGCTACGTGTGGGTGGATGACGTGGCAGCGGTCCCGCATGACGTGGCGGTGGACCCACCGGTGAGGGCCAGCACCAACACGAGTCACCTGAGCTACAGGGGCACGGGGCTGAGGGAGTATCTGCGGCTGTCGAGGATCGTGGTGGACGCGTACAGGCTGGGGGAGAAAGATGTGCGCTGGTGAGTGTGGTATGCTCCTGTGCTGCTGTTTGCTACCTATATAGTGAGCCACCTGCCTTACCGGCGCACGGGGCTGAGGGAGTATCTGCGGCTGTCGAGGATCGTGGTGGACGCGTACAGGCTCGGGGAGAAAGGCGTGAGATGGTGAGCTCGTATCGGGTGCTTTGTGTGTTCAATGGTGGGTGGAGCCACGTGAGCTACTTTTGAGGCGCCTCAAAAGGCACGGCGGGGCACGGGACACTTCGAGTGCCTGCGATTGGCACTGCTCTCATCCAAGAACGCCGGCGAAACACTGTACTACCCCATACCGCCCCCTCTCTCTCTCTCCCCTCTCGCCTTTCGCCCCCACCTGTAGGTACGTGATGGGCGACGATGACACATTTTTCAGCCCCCGCGCCATCACAGCCTTCCTAGGACAGTACGACCACAAGACACCGCTCTACCTGGGAGCGCCCTCCGAGACGCACTACCAGAATGTCGCCAACACGCACGGCATGGCGTTCGGTGGCGGGGGATTCGCCATCTCGGCAGCGCTGGCGCGCATGCTGAGTGATGGCGGCGCCATGGACGCGTGTTTGGAGCGACACGCCACAGTGTGGGGGAGCGACGAGCGGGTCGCTAGCTGTGTTGGCGAGGTGGGGGTGAGTGCACGTTGGGGTATGTGTGAATGCGAGCTACCATTTCGTTTGAGGTTGATTCTGGTAGCTTGCATTCACACGTACCATTCTCAAAATCAACCTCAAACAAAGTGCACGTTGGGGTATGTGTGAATGCAAGCTACCAGAACGTGGCCAACATGCACGGCATGGCGTTCGGAGGGGGCGGGTTCGCCATCTCGGCAGCGCTGGGGCGCATGCTGAGCACAGATGGGGCCATGGAAACGTGTTTGGAGCAGCATGCAGCTGTGTGGGGGAGCGACGAACGTGTTGCCAGCTGCGTGGGCGAGGTGGGGGTGAGTGAGTGCTTGCACTTGGACAACAGGGAATGTAGAGCACGGCACGCAGAGGCTTCGTGGGGCGTCTCTTGTTTGACGCCCCTCGCCATCTCGGCAGCGCTCGCACACATGCTGAGTGAGGGTTGACTTTTGAGTCGACTCAAAAGTCAACTCGCTCGCACACATGCTGAGTGAGGGTTGACTTTTGAGTCGACTCAAAAGTCAACTCGCTCGCACACATGCTGAGTGAGGGTTGACTTTTGAGTCGACTCAAAAGTCAACTCGCTCGCACACATGCTGAGTGAGGGTGGGGCCATGGACGCGTGCTTGGAGCGGCATGCTGCAGTGTGGGGGAGCGACGAGCGCGTGGCAAGCTGCGTGGGAGAGCTGGGGGTGAGTGAGTGCTTGCGTGTTGGGAAGGGCCAATGGATGTGTGGCATGGCAGGGCACGTGCCATTTCCTCTTGCCCGTGCCTCTTACTCCACCAGACCTTTCTTTCTCCTTAGAATCCTCTCCCGTCCCCCACCAGGTCGATTCGGCCGGCAGTCTTGTCATGGCACAATCCCCCTCTCATTCCCCTCCCCACCTCACTGCCCTCCCTCCTCCCCCAGGTGTCCCTCACTTCAACCCCGGGCTTCCACCAGATAGATCTGGGCGGGAGTCTCTTCGGGCTCCTCATGACGCACCCCCTGCACCCGCTGCACCCCCTGAACCCGCTGCTTTCCCCCCAGCCCCACACCTTGACTCCATCCCCCCTCTGCCCTCCCTCCTCTCCCAGGTGTCCCTCACTTCAACCCCGGGCTTCCACCAGATAGATCTGGGCGGCAGTCTCTTCGGGCTCCTCATGGCGCACCCGCTACAGCCGCTGCTCTCCCTCCACCACCTTGACTTCGTTGACCCGCTGCTGCTGCCAGCTGGCATCGCTGACCGGGCGGACGGGCTCGCCACGCTGGCGGAGAGGATCCGGCCGGACCCGGTTGGGTTTGCACAGCTGGCAGTGTGCGGGGACGGGTGAGTGAGAGGGAGGAAACAGTTCGAGCGTCAAAGAAGTAATGTGCTCACGACACATTTAGTGTTGAGACATCTCAAAAGTAGTAATTGCGTCAGAACCGTGTGCACGTCTTTTGAGGCACCTCAATCAATAGCGCCAGAATCATGTGCTCACGACACGTGTTGTTACTCCATGCACGCCATCAAGACCTCCTTGCTCTCTTGCATGTAGACATAACGTACATTTTCCTTCGCTCCTTGCTCATTGTCCCTGCCTCCAGTGCTCCATGCACCCCACTCCCATGCAGCGCCCAGTGGAAGGCAGCCATCTCGTGGGGCTTTGCCATCAAGACCTCCTTGCTCCTCGCTCTGCAGTATAAGCATGTGGTAACACTGTAACAGCACTGACTCTCCTTCCGTTCCTTCCTCCGTGCTCCATGCACCTCCCCCCTCTGCAGCACCCAGTGGACGGCAGCCATCTCGAGGGGCTTTGCCATCAAGCACGTAGCCACCTCCTTCCTTGCACCTCCCCTCTCGCCCACTGCACTATAAGCACGTAGTCATGGAACTTCTCCTCCCCTTGCCTCTCCCATGCAGCGCCCAGTGGACAGCAGCCATCTCGTGGGGCTTTGCCATCAAGATCTACCCTGGGGTACGTTCAGTTCACTACCGCCTAGGTTGGTGTCTATTTCAAACGCCCCTAAAAAAAATATATATATATATATATATATAATGATATTAACCAAAAAAAACAAAAAACTTGGCTTCGGATGAGGAGAATAAAAACACCGGCGCCTATCACTCGTGTTTTAAAACACACATGTTTGGTTAAGCGTGGTACTTGTGTGTTCCGAGGGTAGTCAATTCCCTCATTCTTACCCGGTGTCCACGCCCATCCCTTCTCCTCACGCCAGGCGACGTTCTACTCTCACTAGAATGCATTTTGATGAGTGAACTGAGGCTAGTGAGGGTGGAGCGAACGTTCTACTCTCACTCTCCCATCCCTTCTCCTCACTACCAGAGGCTAGTGAGGGTGGAGCGAACGTTCTACTCTCACTCTCCCATCCCTTCTCCTCACTACCAGAGGCTAGTGAGGGTGGAGCGAACGTTCTACTCTCACTCTCCCATCCCTTCTCCTCACTACCAAAGGCTAGTGAGGGTGGAGCGAACGTTCTACTCTCACTCTCCCATCCCTTCTCCTCACTACCAGAGGCTAGTGAGGGTGGAGCGAACGTTCTACTCTCACTCTCCCATCCCTTCTCCTCACTACCAGAGGCTAGTGAGGGTGGAGCGAACGTTCTACTCTCACTAGAATGCATCTTCCCTGCACTGCCACTTGTTCTCCTCGTGTGCTCTCTCCCTTCCTCCTCCCCCATCACGTCCCCACAAACCTTCCACCCCCTCTCTGCCCTGATCCTTCTTCTCACACCAGGCGCGGCTACTATCAATGCTGGAGAGGGTGGGGCGAACTTCACCCTACAATGAATGTTCTACTCCTTCGTGGGGAGAGTGCTCAAGGCCAGAATGCATCTTCCCTGCACTGCCTATGTTCTCCTTGTATGATCTCTCCCCTCCTCCCCTTGGTTCTCCCCACACCAGCCGCGGTTGCTATCAGAGCTGGTGAGGGCTGAGCGAATGTTCTACTCCTTGGTGGAGAGTGCGACCCCACGGCATTCTCCCTTTATCACCACTACTCTCCTTCTAAGCTCCCTGCCCCCTACAACCCCTCCCCCGATCCCCATGATTCTTCCCACACCAGGCGCGGCTGCTGTCAGAGCTGGTGAGGGCGGAGCGCACGTTCTACTCCTTTGTGGGGAGCGCTGACCCAACCGCGTTCACCTTCGATACCAGGACACCAGAGGTGCGGGTGTGTGTGTGGGTGCGTGTGTGTGTGTGTGTGCGTGGGTGCGTGTGTGTGTGTGTGTGTGCGTGTGCGTGGGTGTGTGTGTGTGGTGTGTGTGTGGTGTGTGTGTGTGTATGTGTGTGTGTGTGTGTGCGCGCGCGCGCGCATGTGTTTTTGTGTGTATTGGTTGGTCCATTTCAATGTTCGGGTAACAAGGGGAGTGCATTCTCAATGTACTGTATGCTATGGGAAGGGGTGACACGTTGGGGAGGGAGTCGGGGAATGGGGGTGTAAGCATGTGAGATGTTTCATCTACTAGACCTTTTTCTCTCCATCGTATATCGATTATCTCGTTTCGCAGGACGATGCCCCACCGCACGAGTTATGCGCTCTGCCCTTTACGATGTATGCAACATACGTGGGGCGAATGGACTCCAACACGACCAATCCTTACAAGGAGTCAAGCACCGGCGTGGTTAGCGTGTACAATCGCACGTCGTTCTTACGCAGGCTCGACCGTTCTCATTGCCCTCTTGCCATTTCGAAGGTGATGTCAGCGCGCATCATCAGACCTCAAGGGCCCATGCGAATGGGTAGGGGGCCTAATCACGTGGGATGGCCAGGACCAAACCTGAGGAGGCAAAGGTGTGCCAAGGTAGAGTTAAATGATGATAAGATGGATGATTTGACATGAACAGTTTGGTTAGAGGATGTATAAATTCCTTCATATGGTGTATAAGCTTGACGGGAACAGCATAGCTTGTTCACATCTCAGGAGTGCCAGTCTGACACAAGGGGGTGTTGAATTTGTCGTTTTCGAAGAGGCGGCGCCTTGCCGAGCTTGTGCAACTGGATAACCTTGGCGAATGCAGGGGGGATGTGTTGACAGTTTGCCCCCTTCTCCACCACCTGGCCCCTTTCCGCTGCGCGAAGAAGATCTCGACGAAATTTGGGTCCCTACTTCTGTGCCCGGCCCCGCGTGCACCACATGTCTCACGCGCTAACGCCTACGAGTTGGAGGGGCAGCAAACAAAATGCTCTGCACCAATCGCTGGGCGTTGACAAGATGAACAATCCATTTCAACATGAGGTCAGGAAGAACGAACAAAACCCATCAGCACACACAAGACCTATGAAAAAATTGCAATCGTATTTCAGGAAAACCTCCAAAACGTTCTGGAAACCTTTGAAGCTAGTCTAATCCCTCAATAAACTCTTGCTTACAGCAGCACCGCACACCCTTCCCTCTCAACACCCCTCCCTCCTCCTCCCCCTGTTCCCCCAACCCGTTCTCTCCTTCCTGCTCGCTTCCCCTTCCACCTCGCCCACTTTTCCTCCCCTTCTTCCTCGCACAGCCTAGCGCACTCCAATGAATCTTGCTGTTCATCCACCTAGCCAGCAAAAGCAGGAAAAGCAGCAGGAGCAGCAGCATCAGCAGCAGGAAAAGCAGGAGCAGCAGCTGCATCGCCAGCAATGCAGCAGCAACAGGACGAGATGAGAGTGAGAGGAGTGGAGGAGACAATGCCAGTGTCCTGCTCGCGGCCCCGCCATGCGCGCTGCCGTCATTCAGTTATCGCGTCGCGATCATCTCTCTCTAAATTACCTCGCAATCTCGGTGACAACTTTTTGCCTCTCGTTCACTACGTACAGTATCAGACAATTAGGGTTTGACAAGTCCTCTAGCCTGCTTCGATCGTCCTGATCTATCAGATATCGTTCGACCTAGTTGGCTCGCCGTAGCCTAATATGCCAATTAGACAAAGAAAGAGGAGCATTTCATACAATGATCGTCCTGTCATTTCTTCCGGCCGGGAGTAATTTTCCGCCCCAGTATTTCCCTGCCAATGGATTTTACTCCGCTCGGGTCTCCGGGCGTTAGCGAATCTCAAGACCGCGTTTTTCGAAACCGCGACTCTCGAGAATCCGGAATTCATTGCACTGCCGCGGGTGCTTACGAGACGGAACAACCGAACCTCGAGAAGCACTTGTCGCCTGCGAAATTCACTGCACTGTCGAGTTTTGTTTCAATCAGACTCGAATCTCACCCCCCTACGGCATCGCATCGACGGAACCTGCGTGCGAGGGTTTTTTAGCGAGGCGACATGGAGACTCTGAACGATTACACCCATAATTCGCGTCGCTTCGTTTCGAATAGCCTCTATTTGAGCAACTCGACAAGGACGGCCGGCTCGTTGGAGCCATCCGCACGTGCGCCGACAGATTCAGATTTGTCCGCATGTGCAAACACAGAGTTGGATTTTTCCGCACGTGCGCCGGCAAATTCGATGCTGTCCGTTGACTCGTTCTCCGCACGTGCGCCTGCACGAGGGGGGAATGGGGAGTCGTCATCGGCGCGAGCTGAGGTACATTCGGGGGAGCGGGATGCTCGGGAGATGCGCGACGCGCGGAGCGCGTTTCAGGCTGAGGAGAGCGGCCGGCGCAGCACGGAGGAAGCGGCAGGAGAGGATGGGCGGCAGCGCAGCGGAATCAATGCGGGTGAAAGAAGCGGAAGCGGAGGGTTTGGCGGAGGGTGTGGGGGAGGACGGGGAGGCGGGCGGAAGGGACGAGGGGGACGAGGATTCAGAGGAGAGAGGGGAGGGAGAGGCGGGGGAAGAGGAGGGAAGGAGAGGAAAGACTCTGCGCAAGATGGCGTGGGTGAAGGGGGGGGAGGGGGGGCGGGGAAAAACGACGCGGAAATGCGCGTCTGTAGGTCTACAAGCGGGAGTGACAGTAACGGGGGCGGTAGCAGCAGCAGCGGCAGTGGCAGCAGTAGGTGGAGCAGCAAGCGAGGCGGCAGCGGGAGTCGTGCAAGGGGTGCCGATGATGCTGCTGCTGCTGCTGGTGCTGGTGCTGCCGTTGCCAGTGCGGGTGCTGATGGTGCTGATTCTGTTCTTGTAACGGCGGTGGGGAGTGAAGCGGGCAATGGTTTCGGGAATGTCTCAAGCGTGGCGAGCGGTGTCGACGTGGCGAGAGGACGGGCAGGAACGCGAGGTGCTTTGAGTATTTTAACCAAGGGAGCAGCGGGCGGGGGAGCAGCAGGCGGGGGAGCAGCAGGCGGGGGAGGTGCGGGCGGGGAGGCAGCGGGCGGGGGAGAGTGGGCGGAATGCGCGCAGCTGTACAGTCGCACCAGCAGCGCGGGCAGCGCTACGAGCATCACCAGCAACGGGATGGGCAGCAGCAGCTGCACCACCCGCAGCAGCACGATCAGCAGCAGCGGCAGCAACAGTGGCAGCAGTGCTAGCAGCAGCAAAAGCAAGAGCAGGAGCGGCATCACCACCACCACCACCGCCATTACCATCACAAGTAACAGCACCAGGAGCACCGTTAGTACCGTCAGCACCGGCGGCAGTAGCAGCTCTAACGGCAGCACCAGCGGCGCGACAAACAAATGCCAGGCTGGCCGAGTGTCATGTTTGCCGCCCAAAAGCCCGCTCTCCTTCCCCCTCTCCCTGCCGCTCTCTCTCCCCCTCTCCCCTTCTATGGGTTTCTCCCCCCACTCTCTCCCCTCCTCCTCCGCCTCCTCCCCTTTCTCCTTCTCTTCCGCCCCGACCTCCCCTTTTTCCGCCACTTCCCCCTCCACCACCCCCTCCTCCCCTCGCTCCCCCTGTTCCCCCTCCCTCCCTCCTCCCTCTGCCACAACCAATGCTGCAACTGCCACTGCTGCCACTATTGCTGCTGCCAGTGCTGTCGCCTTCGCTTCTGCCGCTGTTCTCCCGCCTGCTCCGTTTCTCCCTCCTCTTGCTGCTTCTCCTGCTGCTGCTCCTCCTACTCCCCCCGCTCCTGCTTCTGCTGCTGCTCCTATGGGCTCTCCCCTACTCTCTCCCCTTTCCAATGCCACACCCAACGCCTTCCGAAGCAGCCCAAACCAATCGCACACACCCCTCTCAATCCCCACCCAGCACGTCACCTCTTCTTATCCTCTCCCGTCCTCCCAAGCCGCCTCCTCTCCCCGAGCCTGTCCGTCAGGCTTGGCAGGGGTGCTGCAGGATTGCCAGGAGGTGGTGTGTCGAGCGTTGGAGAGCTTCGAGGCGCGGCTGGGAGGGATTGTGCTGGGGACGCATTCTCCCCCGGACTCTCCCCCGCACTCCCCTTCCCTCTCCCCGTCTACCATCCGCGCTGCTCCTTCTGCTCCTCTTGCTGCCCCTGCTGCTGCTCTTGCTGCCCCTGCTGCTGCTCTTGCTTCGCCTGATGCTGCTCCTCCTGCTGCTGCTAGCACCGTTGATGCTGCTGCGTCAGACCTCCACGGTCTCACTGCTGAAACGCGTGAAGCTACAGCAGCAGCAGCATCACCACCACCTTCACCGGCACCAGCACCAACGGCTGCTGCTGCAGCAGCAGCAGCGGCAGTAGCAGCGGCATCCCCTCCGTTCTCCTCTCCTCTATCCTCTCCTCTCCCTTCTCCCCGCCCCTGTCCTTCCGCCTCCCCGCTTACCTCCCCCCGCCCCTGTCCCCCCAGCTGTGCGCCCCCCGCCATTAGATCCCCCCGCTCCGCCAGCGCGCAGGCGTCCCCCAGGGGGTGGGGGCGAGCGGACAGGGCGCAGTGGGATTACCCCAGGGGCAGTGCGCAAGTAGCTCCCAGGGCAAGAGCGGGAGGGGCAGATAAGGCGCAAGGGGAATGCGCCAAGGGCAGCGCGGAAGCAGAGGGGGCGAGCTACCCCTGTTCCGCCAGTGCGCAAGTAGCGCCCAGGGTAGGGGGAGGGCTAGGTAAGGCGCAGGGAGATTGCGCCAGGGGCAGCGCGGAAGCACAGGGGACGAGTTCCGCCCTTTCCGCCAGTGCACAGTTCTCTCCCCGCTCCCCTACACAGCGCTCCCCTTTGCACCGCTCTCCACACCCTTCAACCACGTCCTCCCAGCCCCGTACCTTTGACAACCGCTCCTCCTCTCCCCACGTCCTCTCCCCGCGCTCCTTGTCATCCCAACCGCGCTCGCCCCGCGTCCCCTCGCACCATCCCCTTTTTTCTCAACCCCAGATTTTTCAACCCCCTTCACCTCGACCCCCGTCTCCGTCCCCCACCTCCCCTCACCCCCCCAGTTCGCAACCCCCCTCTCCCCAGTCCTCGTCTCTCCTCCCCCCCTCCCCCCGCGCCACCTCTAGCGCGGCCCCGAAGTCCCCCCGCTCCCCACGTGACGCACCTCAGAAATCCCCTCGCGCCACACACAAACCCTCCCGTTCCCCCCTCACGTCCTTTGACTCGTCCTCTCACCCGTCCCTCCAATCCCACTCCTCCCCCTTCGAGGCCTCTCAAAATGCCCCCCTCAGGTCTCCCCTTTCCACACCGCGAACGCCCCCCCTTAGGTCCATTGACTCGCCTCACATGTCTCACATTGCCCTTCGCTCTCACTCCTCTTCCGCACTGCTTCCCCCCTTCTCCTGCAAGCCTCTGTCCTCCTCCCAATCCCCCTCCCTCCCCTCCTCCCCCTTCCCCTCCTCCTCCTCGCTCCCCGTTACCCCCGCTTCTCTCGCCCGCTCCTCTCAGCCTCCCTCTCCTTCCCCTGTTCCCACCACCACTCCGCCTCCCAAGCACATCTTAAAGCCCAGTTTTGGAACCGCTGCAGTGGTTACAGATGGTGAGAAGCGTCACCCGAATCAGCAGGTGAACCCACAGGTGAATCTGCAGGCGAATTCGCAGGTGAAGAAGCAGGGCTACGTGCAACATCAGGTGAACCAGCAGCAAGCGCTGATCCTGCAGCAACAACAGCCTTCACAACAGCAAAACCAGTGGCAGCAGCAGCAACAACAGCAGCAGCAGCAGCAGCAGCAGCAACAGCAACAGCAGCAGCAACAGCAACAGCAGCAGCAACGTTTCAATCCCAGGGTGCGACGTCTGGTGTCATTGTCTTTGGATCTTAGGGAAACAATGTGGGCAACCGAACAGGAAGAGTCTGCTGGCATCGACCGCACTGCACCGCACCAAACCGGACCGCACTCAACCTCACCACACTTGATCTCACCGCACTTAATCTCTCCGCACCGGTCCGCACAGCAGCTGCCAACCCCGCAGCATCAGCAGTACCGTCAGCAGCACCAACAGCAATGGCAGCAGCAACGACAGCAGCAGCAGCAGCAGCAGCAGCAGCAGGGGCAGCAGCAGCAACAACAGAGGCAGGGGCAGCAGCAGCAGCATTGGCAGGGGCAGCAGCAGCAGCATTGGCAGGGGCAGCAGCAGCAGCAGCAGCAGCAGCAGCAGCATGGGCAGCAACAACAGCAACGCCAGCAGCAGCATTGGCTGCAGCAGCAGAGGCATGGGCAGCAGCAGCAGCAGGGTTGGCAGCAGCAGGGGCAGGGGAGGGAGAGAGTGCGGCGGCGCATGTCCCTGTCTCTTGACCTGAGGGAAACAGTGTGGGCGTCTCAGGCGGATGAGAGTCCTGTGGGAACAGTGGGAACCCGCACTGCTGTCGGCACCCGCACTGCTCCTCCTGCTGCTGACCCAAACCGCACGAGGCGAGACGCTGCACCTGCCACACCTGCCACCCCTCCCACCCCTGCCACCCCTGCCACACCTGCCACACCTGCCACCCCTGCCACCCCTGCCACCCCTGCCACCCCTCCCGCCCCTGCCGCCCCTGTCAGTACTTCTGCACCTGCTATCCCTGCCACCCCTTGGAAGAGCGTGTTGCCTCACAAGGCTGCAAGCACTATTGAGAGTGCTTCTTCCCCCACCAGCACTCCTGCCTCTGCCACTGCTCCCACTGCTGCTGCCGGTGTCACTGTCGCTGCCACTGCTGCCACTGCCGGTGCAACGGCTGCTGCTGCCGCTGCAGGATCTTATCAGTCTTCTCCTCTTCCTCCCGTTCGCATGCCTGGCTATCCCTCCCCGTCGCCCAATCCCTCACTCTCCTCCGTCCATCGTGCCGCTTTGCACCACACTGTACCGCATGCTGCCCCTCACTCCTCCCCGCACAATTCCCCTCACGCTCACTCCTCTTCCCCGCATACCCTCTCCTCTTCCCCTCACTCTACCTCATCCTCTGCCCACTCCTCCCCCCACTCCTCCTCTCCCTCACTCCACCGCTCCCCTTTCCGCCCCCCACACTACCCCTCGCCTCTCCACCGCTCCTTCTCTTCCACCCCATCGGCACCCCTATCCCTCCAACCGAGCTGCACCGCTCTGGAATCCCCTGGAACCATCACCCGCAGCCGTACATCCAACGCACGCAGCAGACCTCTCACTTCAGGCAACAGCACCAGCACCAGCAACAGCCACAGCACCAACACCAGCAGCAGCAGTAACAGCAAAAGCAGCATCAGCCCTACTAGCTGTAACACGGCTGCAGAGACTTTGTTTTCTGCTGGTGCTGCCAGGATGGGAGGAGCGACTGGAGGAAACTTGTATGCTTTTGAGACGTCTCCAAAGCAGGCTGTATCTGGTGCAGGTGTATCTAGAGTTGTGCCGTTTAGAGCTGGGAGAGAATGTGCTGCTGGAGAATCTAGGGTTGGGGCTGTGGTTGGGAGAGAGACGTGCGGGTCACAAGCTGTTGACGGAAAGGAGGGTGGAGCAGCAGCAGGAACAGCAAGGAGTGGGGGGTTGGCAGAGGGGGGAGTAGGATCAGGGCGAGGAGGGGTAGCGGGGAGGGGGGGAGCAGCGGGGAAGGCGCGTGTGGGAGGGCACAGGAAGAGCCCATCCATGGGGGCACTACCTTCCATGTCCCACGCTGCTGCTTGGCTCGACCGCTGCTCTAGAAGTACCACCAGCAGCAGTAGCACCACAAGCAGCAGCAGCACTGCTACCGGGACACAGTGTGTGGGAGGTAGTGCCATGTGCGGCGATTTAATGGGTGGCAACCATATCGGCGGCAATCGAATGGGTGGCAATCCGATGGGCGGCAATCCCATGGGCGGCAATCTAATGGGCGGCAATCTAATGGGCGGCAATCCCATGGATAGCAGCAGGCACTTTATTGGTAATAGTGGATTTGATAGCTTTTCTGGTCGCACTGCCAGTGCTCTTGCTGCTGTTGCTACTGCTCCTGCTCCCGCTACTGCTGCTGGTTCTGCCAGTGGTGCTAGTGCAGGTGCTGCTGATGCTGGTGCCTGTGCTTCTGGTGCAGCTGGTGCGTCTGGCAGTTATGGCTCTTGTTCTGGGGATTTTGCCGTTGCTGTTGCTGCTGTTGCTGTTGCTGCTGATGTGCCCAGTGCTGCTGCTCCGGGTAGGATGGTGAAGAGTAAGAGCATAGGCGGCAGCAGCAGGAGTAGGGGGTTGGTAGGGATGGTGCACTCCAGTACCAGCAGCATCAATGCAAGCACCAGGTATGCCAGCAGCGGCAGCATCGCCAGTAGCTTCGGCAGCAGCAACCCCAGCAGCAGTGCTAAGGAACGGGCTGCGAGTGATGGGAATTTCCGCGTTACTGTCAACGGAAATATCAGCAATCGCAGCATCGCCAGTAGCTTCGGGAGCAGCCCCAGCAGCAGCGCTAAGGAACGAGCTGCCAGTGATGGGAATTTCAAGGCGCCTCAAAAGTTCGGCAGCAGCAGCCCCAGCGGCAGTGCTAAGGAACGATCTGCCAGTGATGGGAATTGCAGCCCGAGAGTGGGCAACATCAGGCGGTGTGCCACTGCTGGTGGCCAGCCTTTAACGAATCCAGGAAAAGCTTATAATGAAGCGCCGAGCGTATGGCAACGTAAGCAGAGTGTAGAGCAAGGGAATGGGATGGAAGTGGAAGGGGTGCTGGAAGGGAGAGGAGGAGGGGGGAGGGAAAGGGGACGGGGAGGCGGAGGGGGTAAAGGAAAGGGGTTTGGGATCGGCATGTCCCATAAACATACCGGTACCGGTAGTGTGACGTATGGAGTAAGCATGACACATGCACATGGGCTATCCCAAGGCCATCTGCCCATTGCCCCCCAAAGAGCTCGTGAGATACACCTATCATGAGCAGCTTGCATATTACAGTGTTATACACCTGTAGAATGCGTTTTCTGGTACATCCAACGGTTTCAAATGATAATGGTTATGAACTTGTTTTTCAGACTCAATCAGTGAGGTGATGCTTTTGCTCAAAGTTAACAGTTTTATGATACGGTGGCTACCCCTAACGCATGTGTGGTACCTCATGTAGCAATCACCACCTAGTCAGCAATGTTCCCAGTCTGCGAGCTTGAAGTGAAGCTGATATTTTCGTTATGACAGTAACGCGGAACAGTGCCCCCGGGTCCCGACTGGGTGTGAGGGCAGCCCGGCTTTGGCGCCAGCATTAAATGATATTGAATACCTGCACTGTGCAAGCGCCAACTTGGCTGTGGGCCAAATCTTTCAGACTGGGTTGCTCGCGGACACTGTTCTCTGGACGCTTCTTCTGTTTCTCGTTTGAACGGAGGGTGAGGTGAGGTGAGGTGAGGTAAATCCACGAAGGCACATGCAAGGCTCACTGTGGGTAGCGTGGACATTTGAAAGTACCTGACCGCGGTTATGTTTAGTTTGATTCCTCCTGGAGAGTGGGTACACTTCAGTACAGGCTGTAAATATCCTTAAAAACCGTCACCCTGGCGTTCAGTGTGGTGTGGTCCAGCTGTTGGTTTGCGCAAAGACCCCACCATCGCACGAAGGTCAACCGTACTACGACGTGGACATGCTAAAAAACGGGTCGTTGCAACTCTCATCCCTATTTTTGCAGGCTTTTCAAATGACTTTGTTGAGCACCTCGTTTAAAATCTTGCGACCCAAAAAGAGTGACCTAGAAAAGGGATGGCAAAACCCCAATTTCCCGAACTATCACAAACCAGACTGTCAGAGGTGCTGGGTCCATCTGTCTTCCACACTTGCGTTTTCCAGCTTCCTGTCCCCGTGTTGTCACAAACGATACTTCTCCCACCTGAAAGGGTGCCCTTCTCATCCACCAAGTTCCTTGCACCAGGCTGGGTGAAGGGGGACCCAGGAATTCCACGATGGCCCAGAAAAACAGGGGAGGCCTGGTTGGTGGTGGTCCTTGGTGACACCCTAGCAGACACTTCCTGTGACACAGCGTGACGCTGTAGTGTCCAGCGTGGACACCTGGATAGTGACTGGCTGACCACGTCGCCACGACCCCATCTCTTTCAACAAATGAAAAGAGGGATCACCCGAGCAAAAGATTCACTCCGTGAAAACAACTGTTGGTGGACTCCCCAGAACCTCTTATCCACGCGATTGGAGGGCTGCTCTCTCATTCGTCAGATCCAATTTGCTGGAGATATTGCGGCAGCAATGCGTAAAAAAGGACGATCTGCGTGAACTTTCTTCCTGGTCACGACGACTCGTGCTCAAAGTGGGTGGAATGGGATGGGTGGGATGGGAAGGGAAGCAAAGCAACACCACCATCCCGCACATCCCACCCAAACAAAGCTTCAAAGCAGCGTTTTGTACCAAACAAGGCTGAATTGGGCTTGTAGATAGTTTTGACTCTTTCGCCTTCAGTTTCATCCGTACCTCAATCGTTCAATCACTGCCTTCTGTGCTGTAATCCTACTCGATGGATGTAGTTGTCGAAAATGCCGTACCTTCTAGCGCCTGCTCCTCCCACAAAGAGGACTTTGGCACATACGTCCTTATGGTACGTTCGGTTTCATTCCAGTTACGTTTCTGAAGCCACGGATCATAGTGTCTCAATGCTCAGCCCTGACAGCTGTCGTCTTCGATTTTTGTGTCACAGATTCAGCACTTGATAGAGCGGTGTCTCGTTCTGGAACTGAGTCAAGCCGAGTGCATTGTGAGTCTCGCCAGAAGTGCGAGGATCAAGCCGGCCATAACCCTTGCTGGTATGTATTTTGCAACGAGCTCGAACGAGTCTGCATTTTTATGCGTACCATGGCTCACGATCTCTCTGTTTGTGCCTTTCTTGTTCTTCGCAGTTTGGAATTCTCTCGAGAAAGAAAATCCTGATTTTTTCCGAGAGTACAATAAGAAAACATTTTCGCAAGCAGCGAGAATGGCGAGTCGTCAGAGGAGAGCCGCCTCCGAAGAGGAGTGCGCTGGCAAAGTACTCCAATGTCTGGAGCTGTGGCGAATCTCCTGATTCGGTTAACGACGAAGAAGAAGCTGCAAGGAGTGACTGACGCGTCGGACCTAACGTAACAGCCAATGCACATAGGCATAGGGTTGAGAGGCTACTGGACTTTCAGACAGCATGTGCTTCGCCAGACTCCGCCGCTGTACATACCATTCTTGGATGTCGGCGTAGCACAAGCTCCTGAGCCGAAATTGAGGTGCTTTTGAGACGTAGGTTAGGGTTTTTTGGTTTGTCTGTGCGTTGTGCATAGGAAGCATTATGTGTGTTTTGTGCGTTATAGAAGTTTTGTGTGCCTAGCGTGTGTGTTAATTAGTCAAGATTTGTTACGAGTGCAATTGAGTGAGCGAACGAGAATTGCACTATCGAAGCAAGAGTACAATGAGCGAAGGCATGAGAGAAGAATATATAGCGAAACTACAGTGGTAACGGTAATGCGTGGAAATTGGGGTGCGCGACGGGCCTGGCGCCGAGGTTGGGAATTGTCGAGGCGGAGGTCCGGAGCGCGGGTTACCCACCGAACCGTGAGGTTGGGTCGCGTCGTGAACAGTGGTGGGAACAGTGTCGAGGCGAGTGTCGCGAGTGGTAACGGATTACTGTTGGGTGTTGTTGGCGGGAATAGTGGTGTACGCGCTGAGCAGGGACGCGAAGTAAGGAAAAGGAATTTTCCTTACACTACCCCCCTCCCCAAAGAGGCCCCTCTTACGAGAGCGCATGTACATCTCGGAAGTTTCGGCTTCGCAGGTACTCAGTGAGGACAGGGTGGTTCTCAATTCTATCCAGGGGGACCCAGTTGTCTTCGGTGGGCGTGCGGTCCTTCCAGCGGATCAGGAATTCGATTCTGCGGGCTCCCCGTGGGTCACGTACTCGATGGCTCAGTACTGCTTCTGGCGCTGTTGCTGCCACTGGTGCGGGTGGTGTTGCTTCTGTTACTGCTGCTGGAGCTGGTGCTGAAGTTGCAGTCCCCCACCCACACCATCTCCCACCTTCCCTTACAGGGATCTCCCTGGAGCAAGATGACTCAAAGGGAACCAGCGGCTACGGGATAGGTGGTGGAACCCTTAACCCTGGTAGCAGTGGTGGAGATGTAGAAATGCAAGAGCATGCAAAAGAGGACTTCAGGCCTGCATACAATGCTGGTGCTACTGACCAGCCTACTTCTGAGCACCTTTCTCATCCTCACCCCTCAGCCAACCTGTTGCTCCTGAGAGAAACGGGACGCTCTTCACTTGCTGCCTGGGGCCTTGCCTCTTCATCTTCTCGCATCCAGAGCGCAGCCTGTCACAGCTTCGAGAATCATATCAATGCGGTCCCCTTGATGGAGCAGTTGGGAGTTAACAGAGTAGGTTTGGAGGTTGGGGGACATGGGATTGATGCAGGAGAGTTGTATACAGGGGAATTTGAGCAGGAAGCATCGCCTAATCCTGGTGCTGGAACCTACACCATTGATGCGCTCGAGAGGTTCTTGATGGATAATGGGGACCATGGGGAATAAGTTGAGGGTTGAATTGCATGTATTGAGCTCCTATTTATATTCAATAGGCATATCTTTGTTTGTTTGTTAACTTCAATATATGTTTGCTTGTGTGTGTGTATGTGTGTGTGTGTATGTGTGTATGTGTGTGTGTGTGTGTGTGCGTGTGTGTGTGTATGCATGTATGTATGTATGGTGTGTGTGTATATGTATGTGTGCATGTGTGTGTGGTGTGTGTGTGTGTGTGCGCGCGCACGTATAGGAAATGACAACATGGAAGGAATGAAGTTACCATCTGTTGTTCTTGGTAAGTGGAGTGGGTGAATGGGACTGCATCTGGTGTACCATGACTCGTCCATGCCATGCTGCTCCAACATTTGTTGCAACCATGCCGGCAGTGTCCCAACATGTCAATGCATGTGATGGGGCAACCATGGCATGTTATTATGTCAGCATGCCATCGTATCACCATGCTATCATGCCACCATGACCCATGACATCATATCATCATGACATTATCCAACCAGTCAGTTATCATCCTATCATGCCACACACCCCAACTTCTTAATAGGAAAAGATGAATTAGAGGAGGGGCAGAGGAGGAGGAGGAGGAGGAGGAGGAGGAGGAGGAGGAGGAGGAGGAGGAGGAGGAGGAGGAGGAGGAGGAGGAGGAGGAGGAGGAGGAGGAGGAGGAGGACTTGACACTGAGGAGCAACGACTGGCAGAACGAGCACAGTAGAGATGGAAGTGAGTCGTCATGGCTGTTGAAGTAGTCTCAGCATTAATGGCCATGACTAAAGTAGAACGTGGGTGGCGAGAGGGTTTTGAGAGAGAAGAGGGGATTCACTAACAACAACAGTACAAAATATAGATGCAAGAGAAGGTGGGGAAAGAGGGTACATCACTGACAGAGAAACTAAATAGTACTACACTTCTATTCTAGCATGCAATTACATATGAATATCAATCCAGCAATGGCCCACACTCACATCACGTTCCTAGCTAGGATAATAAGTTGTAGATGATTATGTGTTACAGATTGAAAATGTATTTTTTAAATGATCTGGATGAATGTGTCTGCGTTGAACCGTTCGGTAATCGGGTCCTCATATGTCATGGTCCCTTGCTATATCTTTTGAAAACATAAATGGGTATGTTCATTCATAATGCGAATGTGCAATATGCACATAACGAGAAGTCTCGTAAGATGTTACAATGCCAATCTCAATGCGCGCTTGGGTCTGGCGTTTGTCCTTGTGTACAAGTGGTTACCTTCCACGTCACCGCACAATGGTGATCGACTTCCTCAAAGTCTCCGTCCTCAGGAGTTTCAAGCAAGTGTGCGACTTTCCGAACTCCCTGGGTCACTCGCCACGTATGCGGCTGAGCCAAACCAAGTGCAAAGCGCGAATGACGCGAAGGCCAACCAAGCCCAGCGTCAATCACGCAAAAGCCCAACGCGAATCACGCAATCTCCAACCAATCAGGAGCCACTCGAAGCCCTTCGTCGTTAGCACATCCCCGCGAGGCTGGTCCTACACTGATTCACTCTTTACTGTACAACCAATTTTTGAAACCATAAGCCTTCCGCATGACGGGGAAGTGAAGTGGGAGTGTCCAGCACTGTACATCTGAAACCCTGAACCGTGCGCGTCACGGGGAAGGCAAAAGTACATGTCAGAATCGAACCAATGGGAGAGGCCAGCCACTTGGCCAGCCGAAGATACTTTCTACTGGTCAACCTGAAGCCCACAAAACCAAGAGCCCAAGTTGAAGTGGAGCAACAGACAGAATGCGTGGCCACTGATTCAATCTCCCAAGCCAGACAGTTGTGCAAAAACTGGCAAGTACCAGCAGCTAGCTCATTTACTACAGTAGCTAGCTAGCTAGCTAGCTGCTAGTAATAAACCTAAGTCCTGTCCTGAATCGCTGCCAGTGTTGGCAACTGGCAGTTGGGCGAATCTCCAGTGGCGCCACTATAGTGGAAATTAAGACTTGGGGGGACCGCAACAGGTACTGCCAGTAGCCTCAATTGGCTGTACTGACAGTGGTGCACGGAGACAGCAGCAGCTTCATCTGCCCCCTCCGAAGAGAAGTGGTCTATATCAAGTGGTAAGTTAAGTACATTTATTTGTTGGAACCTCAAAAACTGACCACGTGGGACAGCAGGGAGTGACAATTCTACTCTTTTTTCCTGGGAGACCTTCTGTTTTTTTTTTTTAGCCTCCTCAGACCATAATTTTCAGCCCCCCAGTAGCATCTGCAACGGTAGCGTTCCGCTAGCTGAGCAATTAAATGATAGAGCAGCAGACGCCATTCCGGACCAGCAGATTCCATAGTAGCGGATGCAGCAGCAGCAGATCATGCAACCAGAGCAGACGCAACGACAGGCACGACAGAAGCAGATGCCACAGCAGCAGATGCCACAGCAGCAGATGCCACAGCAGCATATGCCACAGCAGCAGATGCCACAGCAGCAGATGCCACAGCAGCAGATGCAAGATCAGCAGATGGATCAACAGCAGATGCAACAAAAGATGCTGCAGCTGCAGGTATCACAGCAGCAGATGCAACAACAAATCCTGCAGCTGCACATGTCACAGCAGCTTGCAGCACGGGCCTATACAGCGCTGCCACAACAGCCACAGCCACAGCTACAGCCTGAGGCTCAGCTACAGTCTCAGCTACAGACTAAGCCACAGCAACAGGTAAAGGCTCAGCTGCCACAGGTACAGGCTCAGCTACAGCCACAGATACAGTCTCAGCTACAGGCTCAGCTACAGTCCCAGCTACAGGCTCACCTACAGCCACAGCTACAGCCACAGCTACAGGCACAGATACAGGCTCAGCTACAGCCACAGTTTCATGCTCAGCTACAGCCACAGCTACAGGCACAGCTACAGGCTCAGCAACAGGCTCAGCCAGAGCAGCTATCACCACACCGGATCCAGCAGCTCTCCTCTCAGCTACAGCCGCTGCTACAGCCGCACTTGTCGCAAGCACTAGAACAAGGTGAGGCTGCCGCTGGTGCAGAGCCATTAGGGCCATTAGAGCAACCAGGGACATCAGGGTCATCAGAGCAGTCAGGCCCATCAGAGCCACCAGGGCGTTTACCCAGACGCACCAGAATGGCGCGCAGCCGCAACTACAACCAGCCAGGGCAGTACCGGGGAGTGAGGAAGCGCGGGGAATTTCGTTACGTTGCAGAGATTAAAGACACCAAGGCTGGGTTCCGCAGGTGGCTGGGTACGTTTCCTTCCGCGGAGGAAGCCGCCCGCGCGTTTGACGAAGCTGCTTTGAGTATCCGAGGATCAAAGGCAAAGCTTAACTTCCCGAGGCATATTCAGAGAAGGGGAGGGGTAGTAGGTTCTGATTCTGTAGAGATTTTAGGAGCAACGGCTGGGATGGAAGCAGCAGGAAGGGATTCAGGGGTGGATGGTGGAGGAATAGGTATGGGAGGGCAAACACATCATGGGCTGGTAAGGCAGGTTAGGAAGGGCAGTAGTACTAGGAGCTTTGAAGGGACAGGGAAGGAGGTAGAATATGGTGAAGAGTCTGCAGGAGAAGGATTGATGGGAGAGGCTGTGGATCAGACACTGCAGCAGGGAGAGGGATTAATCAGGGACGGAGCAGTGACATTTTCTGTGCCTCGAAGGCCGTTTGGAGAGGGAACGAGTAAGGGGGTGGTAGCAGCGAGCTTCGCGGCACCTCAAATGTTTTCTGAAGCGGGAACAAGTGGGGCAGCATGTAAAAAAGAAACAGGTGCAGAATCAGGGGCTACAGGAACAGTGTTAGTACCAGGTGCAATTGTGGGACTGGGAGGAGGAGGAGGAGGAGGAGGAGGAGGAGGAGGAGGAGGAGGAGGAGGAGGAGGAGGAGGAGGAGGAGGAGGAGGAGGAGGAGGAGGAGGAAGAGGAGGAGGAGGAGGAGGAAGAGGAGGAGGAGGAGGAGGAGGAGGAGGAGGAGGAGGAGGAGGAGGAGGAGGAGGGGAAGGAGGAGGAAGAGGAGGAGGAGGAGGAGGAGGAGGAGGAGGAGGAAGAGGAGGAGGAGGAAGAGGAGGAGGAGGAGGAGGAGGAGGAGGGGAAGGAGGAGGAAGAGGAGGAGGAAGAGGAGGAGGGGTAGGAGGAGGACGAGGAAGAGGAAGCGGAAGCGGAAGAGGAGGACGAGGGGGAGGAGGAGGAGGAGGAGGAGCAGGAGGAGAAGGAGGAAGAGAGGGAGTAGTAGGATTTGCAGCTGAAACGTCAGCAGGGAGTGATAGCGGGAGCAAAGCAGGAGGAGTTTACATTCCGGAAGCAAGATCCACAGTAAGCGGTAGTAGCTCGAGCTTAGCCGCCCCTTCCTCCTCCTCCGCCCCTTCCATCACTGCCAATTCTGCCTCTGCCTCCTCCGCCTCTGTCTCTGCCCTCCCATCCACCTTTGTTGATGTTTCAGTCCCTGAAGCTGCACTCACCAACGGTCATCCCCATGAAGGCAACCCACTGTTTAGTAGCGCTGAAATAAATATGCCAATTGCTATGGTAAATGGACAGGGGTTGCTGGGGTTCAATGCAATGGGAGCAGATCTGGAACGGTTTGGAGGGTTGGGATTGGAGAAGGTGGGATTTGAGGGCTTGACGGACGGTGAGAGGGAGTTGTTCTCTGAACTCGCAGAGCAGTTTGCTCAGCAGCTGGGGGGGATTGAAGAAACGGAAGGGGGTGGAAGGAGTGGGGTTGGTAAGGAGGCAGAGAAAGGCAAGGAGGCAGTGGAAGATTGGGAGATGCTTTCAGAGGAAGAAAGCAGTGGAAGCAGAGAGACCATTGATGGGGAAGGCGCGATGGAGAAGGATTGTGCGATGGAGCAGGAGGGTGCGATGGGGGAGGCAGGTGGTGCGATGGAAGTGAGGACGAGCGTAGGTGCGCGCTTGGCTGGCCTGGTTTGTCAAGACGATGGGCCGTCAATGATGATGGGAGTGGGAGGATCTGATAAGCACTCCCAGATGTCTTGCACCGCGTTTTCGGCTCTTGAAAGCAGTGGTCCGAACCAGGGATTTCCAAACCAGATAACCGTAGGGGTGGAGAGGCAGCAAGGAGGCTGCACTGTCTCTAAAGGCCAAGGAGGTTACACTATCTCTGAAGGCAAGGACGGTACTGGTATCCACATGATGGCAACGCAGCCAGGCCAGCCGACCATGCCAGTCCAAGGAGCCATGCCTGATGCATTTGGTCCATCATCCCAATTGCATCAGCCAGGTCAACGGGGTCAATGGGGTCAACAGGGCCAGCAGGGACAAAGGGGTCAACAGGGTCGAGGGGAAGGTGTGGTAGGTGCAGCAGTAGGGGGTCCTCCCGGTCGTGCAGCAGAACTCCCAGTACCGGCAGCCAAGGAGCAGGCTTTGGCAGCAGCGCAGCATGCACTGACAGGGGGACAGACACAGCAGCGTTTGTTGTCGAAGCAGCGAAGTGCAGGGCAACATGCAGAGATAGGCGAACAAGTGATGGCAGCACGGCAACATGTGGTGGCTTGGGAGCAAACAGCAGGAATGCCAGTCCCGACACACTTGGTTACACGGTCGTTAAGCGAACCACGAGCAGTTTCATGGGGTTTCAGTGTCGAGGTAGCAGGGGGTGTGATGGCGCATGCTGGGGGTGTCGAAGTGAGAGGGAGTTCTCTGGAGGAAATAGAGGAGGCGGTGGAGCTACACAATGTGGCAGGTTGGCAACGTAACATGGCAGGTTCAGCTCCAAGCATGCTTCCGAGCTGGCATGATGATATGATGCAGCATGCGCCTGCCATAACGTCCCTGTTTGGTTCCCTAAAAGAGCATGATCATGGCATGCGGTATGCTTTTACCATGTCCCGCAGATCTTCAGTTGTTGTGATTCCGCACATGCGTCAGCATCACCAAGACCAGCAGCAGCAGCACCACCAGAACCAGCAGCAGCAGCAGCAGCAGCAGCAGCAGCAGCAGCAGCAGCAGCAGCAGCAGCAGCAGCAGCAGCAGCAGCAGCAGCAGCAGCAGCAGCAGCAGCAGCAGCAGCAGCAGCAGCAGCAGCAGCAGCAGCAGCAGCAGCAGCAGCAGCAGCAGCAGCAGCAGCAGCAGCAGCAGCAGCAGCAGCAGCTCAAATCATCAAGCTTCGCACGACGCAGCTCTTTCAATCTGAAAGGTGGCAGGAGCGGCAAGGCACCTGCACGGTGTGCTTCTGCAGGCGTCATATGTGAAGCTCTTCCCGTGGAAGAGTGGAGGGAGCAGCAGATGTCTACAAGCCACACCCCATACCTGGAAAGTGGCAACACGATTTCCAAGCTTTCCAGCCCTCCTTGGTCCGAGCCTCCACCTCAGATTCACCACCCAAACACCCCCCCACGTGGCCCACTATTGGCGCCTTACCCTACCCCACTATCAGCACCCAAACACCCCCCCACGTGGCCCACTATTGGCGCCTTACCCACCACTATCAGCACCCAAACACCCCCCCACGTGGCCCACTATTGGCGCCTTACCCTACCCCACTATCAGCACCCAAACACCCCCCCACGTGGCCCACTATTGGCGCCTTACCCTACCCCACTATCACCACCCAAACACCCCCCCACGTGGCCCTCAATGCACTCACAATGAAGAGCACGTGGAAGTTGCCGTCCCCCACGTGGCCCACTATGGGCGCCACCAGCTGAGCCTGCTCTATCTGCTGCTTCGCCAGCACCACCAGCTCTGTGAGTCGCGATATAGGCACACACACATCCGCTAGGAGGCTGGGGTAGGGGGGGTGGGAAGGATGGATAGAAAAGAAGAAGAAAGAGAGAGCGAGGTTGGGAAGGGCGTGTGATAGTGGAAGACGAGTTACCAGCTGGGCCTGCCCTATCTGCTGCTTCGCCAGCACCACCAGCTCTGTGAGATGCGATATAGGCACACACACGTCTGCTAGGAGGCTGGGGTAGGGGGGTTAAGAGGGATGGGTACAAGACAGGAAGAAGCGAAGAGGGAGGTCAGGAAGGGCGTGTGACAACTGAAGGCGGCATTGCCACCTGTGCACAGGTGGTGGTAATGCCGCCTGTGCTCTTCAGCTGGCTTTTGAGTCGACTCAAAAATGCCACCCGTGCACAGGTGGTGGTAATGCCGCCTGTGCTCTTCAGCTGGCATTACCACCTGTGAGTGCTCTATCTGCTGCTTCACCAGCAGCACAGCACCACCTCTGTGAGCCGCGACACAGGAGCATGCACATCCGCTAGGAGGCACGAGAGGCGACAGACGACCTGCCTGCTGTGCTGTTGGCTCACCCACCCTTTACTGTTGGGCGTGAGGGCCAAGGCAGCATAGTAGGCACAGTGACGGGCAACCCAGAGCTTGGATCGCTCCTCGCTCGCAGTGCAGTGCGGTGCAGTGAGATGCAAAGGAGACAGCACCCACCCTTTGCTGTTGGGTCTGAGCGCGAGCGCAGCATAGTAGGCGGAGTGGCGGGCAGCCCACAGCTTGGATCACTCCTTGATTGCAGTCAAGAGCGGTGCAGTGAGGTGCAGTGAGACGCAGTGGAAACATAACATACCTTTTGCTGTTCGCTCTGAGGGCCAAGGCAGCATAGTAGGCGGAGTGGCGGGCAGTCCAGAGCTTGGATCGCTGGTCAGTGCACAGAAGCACGACACAAGACAGACGACTATGTTGGCTCACCCACCCTTTGCTGTTGGGTCGTAAGGCCAAGGCAGCGTAGTAGGCGGAGTGGCGGGCAGCCCACAGCTTGGATCTTTCCTCGGGAGCCGTTGACCACTCAAACGAGCCCCCACCGTTGCTAGATGCAATCTCCGAAACCTGCAGTGCAGTGCAGTGCAATGCGGTGCCATGAGATGCAGTGGGGACTGAGTTGGAGCTTTAACGTATCCGACTGAAGAATCATGAGTGTGGTGTGGTGCAATGTGATACGGAGGAAAGAAAGGACGGTTCAGGTCACTGGGGGCTGCGGAGGGGTACCAAGGGATCGCAACGCTGCAAGCTGATTGGAAAGAGTCCCTGCACCACTGGTAGGGACCTCTTGTCCCCTTCACCTTTCGCATTGTCCCCTTCACCCTTCACCCTTCAACATTCACCAACTAATATCCAGGAACCCCTCTCTTCGCAGCCCTACTTTCCAGTCAGGGCCTAAAGAGAGCCGCCCGCACCCTGCCTCTCCCCCACCCTCTTCCCGCCCCACCTCGCCTCACCCCCACCTCCCTCCGCCCGCACCTTGCCTCTCCCCCACCCTCTTCCCGCCCCACCTGCTTAGCTTGCTCCTCCACAGCAGCAGCGGTGCCGTGGAACTCAAAGAAGAGCGTGGGGCTCGGGTGCAGGTGCGTCTTGGAGTAGCGATTCACTGCGTCCACCTGGGGGGGGATTCACAGAATGGGGGGGGGGGGCGAGGGAGGCATGGGATGATTGAGCGTTAAGAAAAAAGAAAAAAAATGGAGCAAAGGGGTGGCTCGGGTGCAGGTGCGTCTTGGAGTAGCGATTCACTGCGTCCACCTGGGGGGGTTCATCACATAAGAGAGGTTGTCATCACCCGGGCAGCTTTAAGGGCTTCCATGCAAAAGAACAGTACGTGGCAAGAGAGAATGGCTGTTTGGGAAGTCCAAGGGAAAGGTACCCCACCTGAACCTCGTCCAGGAGCTCTATGCGCGGACAGTATGCGACTGCCGCGGGAATGTTTTGAGGATTCTAACAGGAAAAGGAAGACACCCCACCTGAACCTCGTCCAGGAGCTCTATGCGCGCGACGGGGATGGCGGTTTGAATCGTCTCAATCACTGTGTCCACCTGAGGGGTGCAGGTGATGGTGTGTTGGGTGTGTTAATGTGGTGGCGTGTGGGTGTATGATGCATGCGACAGGGATGTGACGGGTGAATGAGGGGTGAGACGGGGATGGCGGTTTGAATCGTCTCAATCACTGTGTCCACCTGAGGGGTGTAGGTGAGAGTGTGTTGGTGTGTGAGTGGATGATGGGTGGGACGGGGATGTGATGGATGTGTGATGGGTGCAATGCAATGGGTGTGTGATGGGTGCAATGCAATGGGTGTGTGATGGTTGTGGGGTGGGTGTGGGAAGGGAAGGTAGTAAGGACGTGGGAAGTGTGAGTAACTGTGTGCACCGACGAAAAGGAGTAAAGAGTGAGAGGAAAGGCGGGGGTAGGGAGAGTGCTCTGAATAAACTAATAGCAACAGAAAGAGGTGCTTTTTTCTTTTTCTTTTTTAGTGCTTCAAAATACTGCGCTGAACATGCTCACAGCAGCAGTATGAGGCGTCTCAGAAATGGAAGAGAGTGGTCAGGAGTGAAACTTTTGAGGCGCCTCAAAAGAGAGTGGTCAGGAGTGAGACTTTTGAGGCGCCTCAAAAGAGAGTGGTCAGGAGTGAAACTCACGGGGTGACTTTTGAGTCGACTCAAAAGTCTCAGAAATGGAAGGGAGTGGTCAGGAGTGAAACTCACGGCACCAGCAATGGGGGTGAAATGGCAGACAGCAGCAACGAGCAAAGGAGCAAAGGGCGAGAGGAAGGAAAGGCGGAGGAGGAATGAGAGCGTGGTGAATGAACTCACAGCACCAGCGATGGAGGTGAAAGGGCAGACAGCTGCCGAGACTGCCTCAGGTTGGGGGTACAGGCGCAGGGCCACCTGCATGCATGATGCATGGTGCATGGGGTGGTGGTGGAGTGTGGGGGAGGAAGGGAGCAGCTCAGGCAGTGTGCGGGAGGCGGGAACACCTGCACGCACCTTAGGAGGTAGCAGGCTGCGGGTACAGGCGACGGGCCACCATGCATGGTGCATCCCCACCCCTGTGCCATCCATCCCCACCCCTGTGCCATCCATCCCCACCCCTGTGGCATCCGTACCTCGGTGACAACAGCCAAGGTGCCTTCACTGCCCACGATCAGGCGAGTCAAGTCGTACCTAAGGTCAGCAACACAGGCGAGCAAGGCAGCAGACGCGCATGGACGGAAGGGAGGGGAGGGAAGGTTGTGGAGCTCGGGAACCGACGGCTGAAAGTTTTTACAGAGACCACATGGCTTGCTGCGGTTTGAATCCTTTCTTCACTCTGGAAGGGAGGGGAGGGAAGGTTGTGGAGCTCTGAACCTTCTCAAAACGCAATCAGGGGGTCGAGCCGAGACTGACGTCAGCAGCTTAGTGGGGCAAGGCAAGGCAGCAGGGGCGCATGGAGAAGAGGGAGGGAAGATTTGAGACGCCTCGAAGCACAATCAGGCAAGGCGAGTCGTGCCTGATGCCAGCAACACACGCGCGTTGAAGGCAGCAGAAGCGCATAGAGGGGGGGGAGGGTAGGGTGGGTAGGTGCGGAGGGGTGGAAGAGGGATGGGGAAGGGGTGGTGCGTGAGGAGAGAGGACGGGGAAAGGGGGTTTGAAGCAAGAGAAGCAGAGCAGGAGGTGGAGAGGCGAACGGCAATGCGTGGGATCAGTGGGGTGAGTTGGGTGATGGGGAGAGCAGGGGGGAGGGCAGATGGGGATAGGGATCTGCTGGATGTGCTGGGTGTGCTGGGTGTGCTGGGTGTGCTGGGTGTGCTGGGTGCCCAATGGTTGCTGCGAGTAATCATAGGCAGGAAGTGGAATGGGGGACACTGCAGGAGGCTCTCACCCTGAGGAAGACTTTCGTGCCCGGCTGCCCGTTTTTATGATCTGCCCGTTGGGCAGCACTGCAGTGACTCCCAGCACTGCCTCTCGCATCGTGCCATACCTGGTGTGCGGTGGGGCGTGGTGGGGCATGGTGAGGCGTGGTGGGAAAGGGTGGGGCATGGTGGGGCACGGTTAGGGATGATGGGGCATGGTGAAGTGTGGTGGTAAGTAGACGATATTTAAAGGGGGAAAAAATGGGGGAAGGGAAAAACGAGGGGGAAGGGGAAGAGGGGAAAGGGAGGGGGGAAGGTGGGAACGGAAAAAGGGGGATGGGAAACATAACGAGGAGAGAAGGCGTGGCATGGAATGGGATGCGATGGCATGGGATTGGATGCTGGCAGAGCATACCGAACAGCATTGGTGCCTGAAGCTCTTGTTGCTGTCATCCCCCCTGTAGTCGTATGGGGTACTCACGCACATGGTAAGGCACGCATGGGGGGAGGGGAGAGGGACACACGGGGGGGAGCAGACGTGCTGTGGCATGCTGCCATGCACAGCGAACGGTTGGATTCATTTCGGAGTTATATTTTGATAAATGCTTGTGACGTGGTACATTCCGAGCCTGCCGCGCACCTGTGGTGCATTCCGGGCCTGCCATGCACCTGTGGCGCATTCCGAGCCTACCACTCACCTATGGTGCATTCCGAGCCTGCCACTCACCTATGGTGCATTCCGAGCCTGCCACGCACCTATGGTGCATTCCGAGCCTGCCACTCACCTATGGTGCATTCCGAGCCTGCCACGCACCTATGGTGCATTCCGAGCCTGCCACTCACCTATGGTGCATTCCGAGCCTGCCACTCACCTATGGTGCATTCCGAGCCTGCCACGCACCTATGGTGCATTCCGAGCCTGCCACTCACCTATGGTGCATTCCGAGCCTGCCACTCACCTATGGTGCATTCCGAGCCTGCCACTCACCTATGGTGCATTCCGAGCCTGCCACTCACCTATGGTGCATTCCGAGCCTGGGTCAACGGGGAAGAAGAGGCCCGAGTCGTGCAGATGGTGGTTGAGCTGCTGACGTGTCACCCCTGCCTGCACTCTGCAGTCCATGTCCTCTGCATGCACCTCCACCACCTGAAGACAAGAAGAACAAAAGTACAAGGGGGTGCAGGATTATGTTATGAGCCACCTGAAAGATTGACTGGCGTATCACCCGTGCCTGAATTCTGCAGTCCATGTCCTCTGCATGCACCTCCACCACCTGAAGACAAAAAGGAATAGGAAAAACCATTCCCAAGCCACAAAAATTCCGAGGTGATTGAAAAATTGACTCGAGTAACACCCTGCACTCTGCTCTCTCCACTCTCCATTCTCCACTCTCCATTCTCCACTCTCCACTCTCCACTTTCCACTCCCCACTCTCTATTCTCCACTCCCCACTCTCCATTCTCCACTCCCCACTCTCCATTCTCCACTCCCCACTCTCTATTCTCCACTCCCCACTCTCCATTCTCCACTCCCCACTCTCCAATCCGCACAACTACATCATCACCTGCTCGACCATGCGCCACCGTTACCTGGTAACCGCACCGTACCTCATTCATCTGCGACAGGTCAATGGAGACGCCTCCACAGAGCGCCGCCACGTGGCCTTCCAGAGACGTGCCGGCGCCATAGGGAATGACGGGCACGCGGGCGGCAGCGCACGCGGTTACCAGCTGTTGCACTTGGTGGGTGGATCGTGCGAATGCGACCGCGTCTGGTGGGACAGCCTCGTGGTATGACTCGTCCCTACCATGCTGCTCCAACACCTGTTTAAATGGCAACATACATAGGGAATGACGGGCATGCACGCGGGAACACATGCGGTTACCAGCTGTTGCTCAGAGCGTGGCTGGTGTCACAGGCTCATGGCACGACTCGTCCCTGCCATGCTGCTCCAACACCTGTTCGCATGCCAGCGTATCAGTATCCCAGCATGTCAAAAACATATGTGATGATGATGCCATAATGCCATGCCATCATCTCACCATGCTAAGCCACCATACCATCATGCCGCGATTCACACAACCCGCGTACATTCCCCACGTAAATTCCCCATGCAAATTCCCCATGTACATTCCCCACGAAAATTCCCCATGTAAATTCCCCACGTACATTCCCCACGCAACCCAGGTGCGTGTATTCCGATTATTCCCAAGTATTCTTCCATGATTCAAGCATCCCATGTATATTCCCAATATCCAAGCATCCATCCCATGTATCTTCCCGCTATTCAAGCATCCCACGTATATCCTTCTTTTTAGGCATCCCACATTCATTCCCTTGATTCAAGCATTCCACATTTACTCCCATTATTTAAGCAGCCAATTCTATTCAAGCATTCAAGCATCCCACGTTTTCAATGCTATTTAAGCATTCCACGTAAATCCAATTATTAAAGCATCTCAAGTTTATTCCCAGTATCCAAGCATTCCACGTAAAATTCCATCCCTCAAGCATTCCCCGTATGCTCCCAATCCCACCGTTCGGTTCGTCGTCACGTTTGAGTCGCCCACGATGGATCGCAAGCGACGCAGGAAAACGTCGTCCACTCGCCCGTATGACGTACGTCGCACAGCAGGAACGTCGCGGAGGCTCCACTTCACGGGGTTGTCGCCAGGGTTGATGGTTCCGCATCGCCTGGAAGTCGCAGGAGACGCGTCGGTTTCCGGAGAATCTGCTACCCCTGCCGACGTCCGTCTTTGTTCGTCTGTTGCCGTTTCCGGGTCGCGACTCCCGTTCGCGACGCTACTAATGTTGTAACTCCGTTTCGCATCGTGACCGTAACGCCTTCGCCAACTCGCAACGGCGCCGCTACTATCGTCGCTTTTCCCAGCAGCACACGGGCCGATTCGGCGACTCCTCCTAGCGTGAAGGTCGTCACTGCACAATAGCGATTCCCGCTGGTCGATTCCAAGAGAACCAGAATCGAAGGAGTTCACCGAATTCTCCAGGAAAAAAGGACCCGGCGACGGCGGAGGTTGGATGTGCGCGCGACGCGCTACGGGAGGAGATTGGTGGCTAGTGGTAGTGAGGCTAGAATCAACGAAGAACGCGGCGATGCTCATGCCGGAGCGTTGCAAGAACCGCGGCGAAGCGCAACGAGCAGAACATGGGATCATGATAACGGCTACTACGTGCGAAGTTGTCACGGGTCACGCTCACGCTCATGAAATGCCTGGGAATCTGGGATCTCCTCCTGGTGGTATCTTCCATCAGAGCCCCAATGAAAGTTGCCGAAACATTCTCTCTATTGAATGACTGGTTTCGGATTGTGGTTGGTATACGAGTGCACTGTAACGGGCAATTCATATATTTTAGACCGTAATAAACGTAAACGTAAACCAGAAACTTGCGTTTCCGAATTTGCGATTCGGTGTTGATAAGCCTGATTCTTCACACGTGGTATGTGGACGCGAGGATCATTCTGATTGGCTTAGCTTTGCGTGTTTCGCGCGTTGGCCCTTGGTTTGGCCTTTAGCGTGTTTCGCGGGTTGCGTGTTTTGCTCAGAACACGTGAACAGTGCTTGTTTGAAACCCCAGAGAATGGAGAATTGGGGGGATAGAGCATTACAATTACTGTTGTGTGAGTCGTGACGTGGGGAATAACCGTTTTTACGACCCTAGCTGCCAAGACAAGTCAGCCGTATACGGGGACAAGGGCAGGTGAAGCAAGATGAGCATTCAATGCCCCTTCGCCAAAATGGCATCATATCCAATGAAAATACAGATCGCACAGAGAAAGAAAACGTGTGGGTGGGTGCAGGTACGTGCACAAGGAAATGTGCAGGGCAGACTCTGCAGACGCACGGATGGCATCACTAAAATCCTAAAAGAAAACAAATTACTGTACATATCGAAACTCTGAACCGTGCCTGGGACGGGAAGGTAAAGAACTGAACAGTTTTGAATTGGTGGGAGAGTCTAGCAACTGTACATCTGAAACCCTGATGCGTGCCCGTGACGGGGAAGATAAAGAGGATTCAACCGACGGGATTGGCTGACCACTTGCGCTTGTCCACTGTCCACACCAATCGTTCCACCACCCCTCCCCCAAGCCAGTGTAAACCAGAAGCACAAAACCAGCTCATTTTGGGTTGAGCAACAAGTTGAAATTGTGCACTGGCAACTACTACTAGTATTTCTAGCTTGTCCAGCAGCCAGTTGCACAAACGTCCGAGTTCTGATAATACTACTACTAGTAGTAGGCGACTCATAGTCATTACGGTATCCAGCTCGAGCCACAGGGCACACCGTGACTGCGAGTGCTCCCTGTGGTGGCAACAGTCCGGCGAAATGTCCGGGATTTTAACTTAACAAATTCATCCCTTTCAGTTTCTGCCACGAAATTAGACCAGCAGCGTGATAAATCCAGTCTCTCTCTACTTGGAACTTCCAGTTCTGACTCACTAGTAGTAGTACTAGGAAGACCTTCAGTTCTGACAGATCTCCGTTTTCCGGCGCTTCTGAAAATAGGTGGGATAACCCGCCGGACACCTGGCAGATGCAACAGTTGTAGATGCAGCAACAGCACTGCTGGCATGCAACCGGAGCAGATGTCACAGCAGCAGATGTCACAGCAGCAGATGTCTCAGCAGCAGATGTCACAGCAGCAGATGTCAACAGCAGCAGATGTCACAGCAGCAGATGTCACAGCAGCAGATGTCACAGCAGCAGATGTCACAGCAGCAGATGTCACCGCAGCAGATGTCACCGCAGCAGATGTCACAGCAGCAGATGTCACAGCAACAGATGTTGCTGCAGCAGAGATCACAGCAGCAGGTTCAACAGCAGCAACAGATGCCACAGCAACAGATGCCACAGCAGCTTGCACCACGGTCCCATACATCGCTGCTGCAACAGCCACAACCACAGCTACAGCCACAACCACAGCTACAGCCACAACCACAGCTACAGCTACAGTCACAGCCAGAGCCACAGCTACAGTCACAACCACAGCCACAGCCACAGCTACAGCCACAACCACAGCTACAGCCACAGCTACAATCACAGCCAGAGCTACAGGTTCAGACAGAGCAGCTATCACCACACCGGATCCAACAGCTCTCCTCTCAGCTACAGCCGCTGCTACGGCCGCACTTGTCGCAAGCACTAGAACAAGGTGAGGCTGCCGCTGGTGCAGAGCCATTAGAGCCATTAGAGCCATTAGGGCCATTAGGGCCATTAGAGCCATTAGCGCCATTAGGGCCATTAGGGCCATTAGGGCCATTAGCGCCATTAGAGCCATTAGAGCCATTAGAGCCTTTAACACGTGGAAGCTGGCGCACCAGAATGGTGCGCAGCCGCAACTACAACCAGCCAGGGCGGTACCGGGGCGTGCGGAAGCGGGGGGAGTTTCGTTACATTGCAGAGATTAAAGACACCACTAACGGGGTCCGCAGGTGGTTGGGCACGTTCCGTTCTGCAGAGGACGCTGCCAAGGCGTTTGATGAAGCTGCTCTGAAAATCCGAGGAGCAAAGGCGAAGCTTAACTTCCCAGGCCGGTATCTTCAGAAAGGGGGAGGGGCAGTAGCACTGGGCTCGGATCCTGCAGCGTCATTGGGTGCAGCGACTAGGATGGAAACAGCAGGAATGGTAGCAGGGCAGGTGGGAGGAGAGACTGGCATGGGAGTGCAACCGGAATCAACAGACGACGCAGGTGCAAGATCAGGGGCTAAGGAGCAGGCTTTATCTGCACTGGTAGGAGGGGAATGCGGAGGAGGAGAAGGAGGAAGAGGAAGAGGAAGGGGAAGAGGAAGGGGAAGAGGAAGAGGACATGGGAGGGGAGGAGTGAGTGTAAGAACAGGAGGGGGGAGGAGAGGAGGAGGAGGAGGAGGAGGAGGAGGAGGAGGAGGAGGAGGAGGAGGAGGAGGAGGGGGGGGGAGGAGGAGGAGGAGGAGGTGGAGGAGCAGGGGTAGGAGTAGGAAAAGTATTACTAGCAGCAGAAACGTCAGCAGGCAGTGATAGCGGGAGCAAAGGAGGAGTGGACATTCCTGAAAGAAGCTCCACCGTAAGCGGTAGTAGCTCGAGCTTAGCCGCCCTTTCCTCCTCCTCCGCCCCTTCCACCTCTGCCAATTCCGCCTCTGCCTCCTCCGCCTCTGTCTCTGCCCTCCCATCCACCTTTGTTGATATCTCAGTCCCTGAAGCTGCACTCACCAGCGGCGTTCATATCCATGCCACTATCCCCACTCACACCTCAGAATGCAACCCAATGTTTATTGGTCCCACCCTGAATTGCCACTCAGTCCTACCGGAGGAGATGCCTAGTGCGATGATAAATGGACTGGGAATGTTGGGATTGGACTCACTGGGAGCAGATCTGGACGGCTTTGAGGAGTTGAATTTTGAGGAGATGGGATTAGAGATGGCAGATGGTTTGGCAGATGGTGAGGGGGAGTGGAGCTCTTTACTAGCAGAGCAATTTGCTCAGCAGCTGGGGGCAATTGACGAAACCGATGGGGTTGGAGGGAGTGGGGTTGGTGTTGCAACAGGCAAGGAGGGAGTGGAAGAACGGGAGGTGCCTTCAGAGGAAGAAATGGAGGAAGGCGGGGAACGGGCAATGGAGGAAGGCGGAGCGATGGAGGAGGAAGAGGGTGCGATGGAGACATGGACGGGAATAGACGAGCGTTTGACGATGGAAATGGGGCCGCCTGTTCGATACTTCCAGCTGCCCAGCGACAAGGATTTCCCTCACGAAAGCAGTAAGCAAATGCTGAAAACTGAAGGGATGGAGAGACAGCAAGGAGGCTGGACAGTGTCTGAGGGTGAGAACAATCCTGGTAACTACATGATGGCAATGCAGCCAAGCCAACAGGCGGTGCCATCTCAAGTAGGGATGGAGGGGCAGGAAGGTGGCTGCACAACTTCTGAGGTTGAAAACGGCCGTGGTGGCTACATAATGGCAATGCAGGCAAGCCACCAGGCGGTGCCGTTCCAAGCTGCCCAGACTGCCCAGACTGCACCATCTGATCCATCATCCTCCCAATGGCACCAGCCAGGTCAACGGGGAGAATGGGCCGAGCAAGGTCAAGCGGTCCGAGGGGCAGGTGTGGCGGTGGGTGTGGCAGCAGCAGGTCCATCCGGCCATCTAGGTGTGGAGCAGATTCGTACTCCAGTAGAAACCTCAGCACTGGCAGCGGGGCAGCACGCAGTGACAGGGGAGGAAGCATTGGAAAGGCAGCAAGCGTTGGCTAGGCCGCAAACAGCAGGGCTGCCAGTCCCAAGCGAGCCACAAGCCGTTTCATGGGGTTTCAGTGTCGAGGTGTCCGGAGGATTTATGACGCCTGGCGAGGATGCTTCCCTGCTAGAGGCGAAGCTAGAAGCAGTAGAGGAGATGGAGGTACCCAGCATGACAGCCGGTTCAGCTTTGAGACGTCTCAAAACTGGATTTATGGCGCCTGGAGAGAATGGCTCCGTGCAAGAAGCAGTAGAGGAGATGGAGGTACCCAGCATGACAGCAGGTTCAGCTTCCACCATGCCTACAAGCTGGCATGCTGAGACAATGCAGTATGCGCATGCCATGATGTCTCCTTTTGGGCCGTTTCAAGGGCATCATCCCAGCGCGCGGTATGCTTTTACCATGTCGCGCAGATCTTCAGTTGTTGTGATTCCACACGTGCATCAGCATCTCCAGAACCAGCAGCAGCAATGGCAAATGCAGCAGCAGGGACAGGAGGAACAGCAGGGACAGCAGCATGTGCCGCAGCGGCATGCGTCGAGCTTCCAGAGACACAACTCCCTCACTCTCAACACTGGCAGGAAGGGAAAGGCAGCTGCAGCCGCAAGGCGTGCTTCTGCAGACCTAGTAAATGAAGCATTACCTGCAAAAGAGTGGAGGGAGCAGCAGATGCTTAGGAGCTACACCCCGGACCTGAAAGAAGTAAAAAATTCTCATCTTTGCAGCCCTTGGACCGAGCCTCAACCCAAGCCTGATTCCAAACCCCCTTCCGAACCCGCACCTTTGATGCTTCGTAGGCACACTGTACCTTTTCCACTGGAGCCACCAGTAGTCGTTTCCTCAAACCCAGATTCCCGGCCCTGTGTGGGAAACACAGGTGGTGTGAATGGTGTGAGTGGTGTGGGCAACCTAGGTGGAGTGGGTGGTGTGAGTGGTGTGGGCAACATAGGTGGAGTGGGTGGTGTGAGTGGTCCAAGTGGTGTTGGAGCTGCTGGTGGTATGGGTGTTGCTGGCCCTAGTATGGATGGTGTTGCTTCTGCAGCTGCCAATGTGGGTAATGGGAATGGCGTGGATATTACCGTGAAGGCTGCTGGTGTTGCTGGTGGCGCTGCCGGTGTTGCACCTGTTGTTGGTGTGGCTGGTGATGCTGGTGTTTCTGGTGTTGCTGGTGCTGCTGGTGTTTCTGGTGTTGCTGGTGCTGGTGGTGTTTCTGGTGCTGCTGGTGCCGCTGGTGTTTTTGGTATTGCTGCTGCGCCTGGGGTGGCTGGGCTGGCATCCTCCCAAGCCTGCTCTCCCGACCCAATCTCTACCATCCCTCTGCGCAGGGTGAGGCGATCCCAGTCCCATGAACAGGGACCAATGGGAGCTGGACAGCTGGACAGGCAACTGCTGCGTACGACAACACTTCGGCCAATAATTCCAGCCAGCAGGTATGCTCGAGAGCTGCACAAACGACTGGAGAAGCATCCTTGGTTACCGGCCAGGAGCTACTGTCAAGGGGTGCTGCAGCATGGACGGCTGGAGGGGCAGCAGAGGTCGTTGTTGGATGATAAAAGGATCCAGCTGCAGCAGCAGGAGCAGCAGCAGGAGCAGCAGCAGCAGCAGCAGGAGCAGCAGCAGCAGCAGCAGCAGCAGCAGCAGCAGGAGCAGCAGCAGCAGCAGCAGTTGGAGCAGCAGCAGCAGCAGCAGCAGCAGCAGCAGGAGCAGCAGCAGCAGCAGCAGATGCAGCATCAGCAGCAGCAGCATCTGCAGCAGCAGCAGATGCAGCATCAGCAGCAGCAGCAGCAGCAGCAGCAGCAGCAGCAGCAGCAGCAGCAGCAGCAGCAGCAGCAGCAGCAGCAGCAGCAGCAGCAGCAGCAGCAGCAGCAGCAGCAGCAGCAGCAGCAGCAGCAGTCAAAGCAGGAGCAGTGGCGTTCAACTCAGCAGCATCAATTACAGTTGTTGCACCAGCAAGATCAGCTGGAACTGCTGCAGCAGCATCAGAATCAGCTCCCTCGCTTCCATCATCATCTGCCCTTCCACAGTCAGTCCACCCCCTCCACAACACCTGCTGCTCTCACCTCCTCCGCTCTGACCTCTACTTCCAGCACTGCTGTTGGCATTGCTTCAGGGGCAACGGTTTGCACTCCTGTTGCCACCGCTGCTGGCACTGCTGGTGGTGTTGCGTCTGGTGCTGCTGCTGCAGTCTTGCACTCGCACCATGTCCTTCTTTCCCCCGCCTCTCCACCCGCCGCCTTGCATGGATACAGCAACACAGAGACGTGCGGTATTGATGCCTTGGAGCATGGTGCCTCCAAGGAAATCAACGGCTACGAGACTGGTGGTGCTGGCATTAGTGGTGGAGATGTTGTAATGCAGGAGAATGCAACAGAGGGCTCCTCATTGCCTGCATACAATGCTGCTGCTACTGCCCAGCCTAGTGCCGACCAGCCAAGCGGTGACCAGGCGAGTGCTGCTGACCAGCCGAGTGGTGACCAGGCGAGTGGTGACCAGCCGAGTGGTGACCAGCTGTGTTCTGCCCAGCAGCGTGTCATGTCAGGCTCGAGCCTTCCTCTTCCTCACCCCTCAGCCAACCTGTTGCTCCTGAGGGACACGGAACGCTCTGCTCTTGCTGCCTGGGGCCTCAACTCCCCATCATCTCGCATCCAGGGGACAGCCTGTCACAGCTTCAAGAATTATGTCGATGCTGCCCCCTTTACAGAACATTCAGGAGTCACCAGAGTAGGTCTGGAGGTTGGGGGACGAGCTACAGATGCAGGCGGGTTACCGTATATAGGGAACTTTGAGAATGAAGCATCAACAACCCATGGTGCTGAAACCTACACCGTTCATGCGCTCGAGATGTTCTTGATGGATCATGGGGAGCATAGGGAATATGATTAGGGGTGATTTGCATGTATTTCGCTCCATATTTTATTCAATAGGCATTTCTTTGTTGTCATTGATTTATTATACGAGTGTGTTTTGTGTGTGTGTGTGTGTGTGTGTGTGTGTGTGTGTGTGTGTGTGTGTGTGTGTGTGTGTGTGTGTGTGTGTGTGTATGTGTGTGTGTGTGTGTGTGTGTGTGTGTGTGTGTGTGTGTGTGTGTGTGTGTGTGTGTGTGTGTGTGGCATGACGTTAAGCCCATCCGAAAATTGACGGGTTCAGAAAGTAACTTTCGAGGGCCGAAAACGAACTGGAGCAGAAGTTACTGGTGAACTTGCTTTTTGACGCGACTCACTCAAGGTCGCAGGCTGCGATTTCCCTAACTTTTGGGAACCAATCAAGGTAACTCGGGTTGAGGTTCGGTGGTCCTTTTGATTGGTCTGACGCTGGAGGTCGGGCGTCGAGATTTGGCGTCATGTCTTCCCGCCTAGGCTGAAATTATGTTTCATTGTTACGCGTGGGCTATTTCGATTGGCTTAGCCAGCTTTCAAATAATCTTGATAGATTGCGCATACAATCTAGATCGCGTAGACAAATTTTATGTTTCGAATTGTTTGTGATTTTATTGAACAGCTCATTAGTATTGATACGTACATAATCGATATAATTAAAGTACAGTGGAAAAATTACGTTTTACTACGTACACTGTAAACGATTAATTCCATATTTTACAATATTCAAAACAAAAGCTTTCCACCATCTCGGAAATTGATTATTCCTTCCTTATTACTAAAGAATCAGTATATTATAATAATGAACCCAGGATTGTAATCTGCATGTATTACAGTCATATATACACAACCTCATGGAGATTACTGTCAGGTAGAATCTACCTACTAACATGCTAACACACAACACTTGGCCCGTCTTCACTAAGAAACATAATACATGTTTAAAGCCTAAATTGCTACTGTTTTGCCCTATAAAAGAGAAGCTGCAGAACAGAAGCTGCAGGGTCGGACATGCCTAAAAACACATACTTGCATCCCCTCTTCTCCCCCCGTCAGGTCTCTCCCTTGGTCTACAGCTGCACGTTTGGCAAATGCAGAGAAAAAACAGGACGTCTGATGAAACAGAATTATAGCTTCGCAGCGAGAAAATACGGGTGTACAAGTAAAGAGAAGGGGACTGAACAGAGGGGTGGGGAGAGGGTGTGGGGGGAAAAGCATATACGGTAGCATAAGGAGGTGCAGCGGGAGTCATGCATTAAATCTCTTACTGCGTGGAGGCATTTTGGCTGTCGAGATGCCCCAATGAGATGGCATTTTGCCACATTCCCGCAGGCGGCTCCACCCTGACACCAACTGCTGAGGTTCGGGGAGAGAAGATAGGGTAGTAAGAGAAGATGGTAGAGAGGACATATCTGGCGGAAGTTCCGCGGCGGCGGAATTTTCGCACGCGACGGCGGAAAGTCCGCACGCGGAGGCGGAAATGTCCCGCTTGCCGCGAACGAGCAATCGGCCCATCGAACGCGATGCTCGAGTGATAAGTTCCGATGGCAACCCGCTGTCGCTAACTGCAAGCACACGAAGCGCATGTCAGAACATTATAGCTCATGCATATTGTGTAGGCTATAGTGGGGTAGTCCATAAGGGGTACAACCCAATTAGGGTTAGTACTTGTACCCAATTCATTCATAGTTCATTCATCCCTTGTTTCTTCTCATGGTATCGAGCAGGTTCCCTAACGGGAACGATTCCTAGGGCCCACCACTACGAGTTTTTTTTCCTGCCCGGAGCGCGCTTCGCTCCGGCCCGAGTCACGCCCGGTGTGCTCTCATCACCGTCGCGCCCTCACTAGGCCCCTCACGGCCCCCTAGCGCCGCCCTTAGCGGGCCCGTCGCACTGCCCTTCGCGGTCGCGTCGCGCCGCCCTTTCGCGGCCCCGTCGCGCCGCCCTTCGCGGCCGCGTCGCGCCGCCCTTTCGCGGCCCCGTCGCGCCGCCCCTTTCGCGGCCCAGTCACCGCCCTACCTGCGGCCTCGTCGCCGCCCCTTTCGGTGGCCCCGTCGCCGCCCTACCTGCGGCCTCGTCGCCGCCCTACCTACGGCCCCGTCGCCGCCCTACCTGCGGCCCCGTCGCCGCCCTACCTGCGGCCCCGTCGCCGCCCTACCTGCGGCCCCGTCGCCGCCCTACCTGCGGCCCCGTCGTCGCCCTCCCCTGCAGCGGCCTCGGTGCCTACTCCTACGGCCCCGGCCCCTGCTCCTACGACCCCGGCGCCTACTCCTACGGCCCCGGCGCCGCCCTTCCCGGCTCCGACGCCGCCTCCCACCGGCCCCTCCGCCGTCCCTGATCAGGAGCCGCAGCCGCCAAGCCGCCCAGCGACCGAGCCGCCGGGCCGCCGAACCGCCCAGCAGCCGAGCCGCCGGGCCGCCGAGCCGCCCTGCTGCCGAGCCACCCGAGCCGCCGAGCCGCCCTGCCGCCGAGCCACCCGAGCCGCCCAGCAGCCGAGCCGCCCAGCAGCCGAGCCGCCCAGCAGCCGAGCCGCCCAGCAGCCGAGCCGCCCAGCCGCCAAGCAGCCCAGCAGCCGAGCCGCCGAGCCGCCGAGCAGCCGAGTCGCCGAGCCGCCCTGCAGCCGAGCCGCCCAGCCGCCGAGTCGCCGAGCCGCCCTGCAGCCGAGCCGCCCGAGCCGCCCTGTCCGGTAAGAGCAGCGCCTCTCTCACAGCACTGCCCTCACCCTACTGTTTGCGCTACTAGTCTACTGCTGTCATGGCTACCCCTAGTGTCCTCGCTTTTGACGCTGAGGGTCGGGCCATGGACTTTGAAGTCTGGATAGATGACCTGCAGCTTTTCTTACAGTGCGATAGGGCAGACGGCCTCTCCCTCTTTGACCTCACTTCTGGTGCCTCTCCTGCCCCCGCTGCTGATGCTGACGCCACTGTTCGCTCACAGTGGGCCACGCGCGATGCTGCTGCACGTCTTGCTGTGCGTCGCCACCTGCCTACCTCTGAGTGTGCGCACTTTAGCCAGTACAAGAGTGCTCAGACCTTGTACGACGCTGTAGTTGCACGCTACTCCTCCCCTGCCACTGCTGCACTGAGCCGCCTCATGCTACCGTACCTCTTCCCTGACCTTGCTGCCTTTCCCACAGTCGCTGACCTCATTACGCACCTCCGCACTAGTGACACTCGCTACCGCGCTGCGCTTCCTGCTGAGTTCTGCGCCAAGAACCCCCCCCCCATGTACATCACCCTCTACTACATAGTCACCCGTCTCCCTGACTCCCTTCGCGTAGTCAGGGACCACTTCCTCTCGGTTTGCCCCACCACTCTCACTGTTGACCTCCTCGAGAAGGCCCTCCTAGCAGCAGAAAAGAGCATAGTCGCTGTAGGAGCCTCTCGTGGTGACCCTCGCACCCCCATCTTTGAGGGGTGTTCCCCCTCCCCTCTTTTGCCCTCTGTTGCCTCTGCTGCTGCGGCCGACCTCGCTGGTTTGGAGTCGGTTGGGGCAGCGTCTACCCCTAGCGGGAGACGCCGCCCTGGCAAGGGCAAGGGGGGCAGGGGCGCTGGAGGAGCTAGCGGGGGCGGTGGAGGCGGCGGTGGGGGCGGTGGAGGGGGTGGGGGTGGCGGTGGGGGTGGTGGCGGGGGTGGAGGTGTCGGTGGCGGCAGTGGAGGCGGAGGCGGCAGCGGCGGTGGCGGAGGGAGCGGAGGTGGCGGCGGTGGAGGAGGAGGCGGCGGAGGAGGTGGAGCTGGTCGGGCTGGTGCTGCGCAGAGGGTCGGCTCCGGTGGTGGTCAGCGCCAGCAGCAGCAGCAGCAGCAGCAGCAGCAGCGCACTCGTGACATCCCCTCCCCTCAGCAGCTCCGTGAGTGGTACACTGCACGCCAGAGGGGTGGGGGTACTAGTCCGTGCACCTACGTCCTGCGCACCGGCGACCGCGCGGGTGAGCAGTGCGGGGGTGCGCACTCCACCCAGCGCTGCTTTGGCCGCCTGACGGACGCTTGGCGTCACCAGTTCCCTGAGGCCACTGAGATCCCCCGCTGGGGTGAGCTGTCTAGGGCGGGTGTAGCTGTCTTTGACCTTGACTTTGATGCTATTCTTGCTGCCATGTATACTGTGACTATTAGTGATGAGGGTGACTGTTACCGGTGTTTTCCGCCCGACCCGGGCATTGAGACTGCTGCTCTAGGTACTGGTGAGGCTGCTGCTCTAGGTGCTAGCGAGGCTGCTGCTCTAGGTGCGTCTGCTCCCTCAGGTGCTGGTGAGTCTGCTCTCTCAGGTTCTGCGTCGGCTTCGGCCTCCCACACCTTCACCCTTGACTCGGGGGCTTCTCGCTCCTTCTTTCGAGACCGCACCACACTCACGCCGCTTGGCCGGCCAGTTGCGGTCTCTCTGGCAGACCCCTCTGGGGGTCCTGTCCTTGCTCACTTCTCCACTGTCCTCCCGTGTCCGGCGGCCCCCTCTGGCACCCTGTCTGGTCTTTACCTCCCCTCGTTCTCTACGAACTTGGTGAGTGGTGCTGACCTACAGGATGCGGGGGTTCACCAGTTCACTCCTGCGAGTCAGCGGGTGACCCACTGCACGGACGCTCGGACAGGCCGACACCTGGCCACGTTTACACGTCGGCCAGGGTCGAGCCTGTACACACTGACCACTGCGTCTCCTCCAGTCCCTGCGTCTGGTCAGGTAGCTGCGTCGGGTCAGGTGTTTGCTGCAGCGTCCAGGTCTGGTCCTGAGTCTGCCCCCTGCTCGTGTCGCCTCCTGTCTCACGAGACTCTCCTCTGGCACCACCGCCTTGGTCACCCCTCCCTGCTTCGTCTCCGGAGCATGGCCTCCCGTGTCCTTGTCTCTGGTCTTCCCCGGTCCCTCCCTCCCCTTCCTCCGGGGCCTGGCCCTACCTGCGTCCCCTGTGTCGAGGGACGGCAGCGGGCTACCCCTCACTCCTCCCAGTTTCCTCCGACAGAGGCCCCGCTGCAGACGCTTCACATGGACGTGTGGGGCCCGGCCCGCGTCCGTGGACAGGGT